GGAGAGCAATACTCGTGCAGAGATTACCTTCCATCTGTGTCTGCCTCGAGCTCGCGACTCTAGCCCAGGTCTCGATTTGGCCGTCTGGCACGGCACGCAACGCCAACACGAGTAACAATGATTTATTTATTTGATTGCCCAGAGAAACCTGATGGAGTGTCAAGATCGAGTATCGGGACGCGTGACACCTTCACCGCTGTCTCAAACTCGACAGTGACGAGGCTGACGTGCGTCTTACAAACGGGGCAATTGCCACGGCGGGCAGAGGAGAAGCAAAACTTTCCTCGAGAGGAGCGAATGTTCATTTGACGATACTGAGCCCTGCCACGGTAATGTGGGATTTGACACTTTACCGTGGAGTTGAGCACGGTAACCAATCGGCACTAGAAGTGTCTCGCTCTCCCTGCGAGCTGCCAGGAGTGACCGAGGCCACAGCCTGCCTCGCCGCAGCCTCAACAGCGGGGCCCTCGAAACACCGGGAGCCGCGTTCCGGGGACGGTGCGGTGTCAGATTTAGGACTTTGTGCGGTCACTGGTAACCGGGCCGAGCCTGTCAAAACCCCCTTCCCCCTGAGAACCCGGTGTTACTTTGCGCCGTTACCTGGATGCGAACCCAGTTGACCCCCTGGTGCTGGCTCGGCCCTCTGATGGCGCGCTCCGCATCGCAACGATGCCGCGCTGGCAAACGCGCTCACCGGATGCGATTACGCGGTGCCTGTTGCAGTGGCGCGTTATGAAACGCACGTGCCGTAACGTCGCCGTTGATCAAGAGCTGCGGCACTCTAAATGTTGCCCCCTGCAAGGTGGTGGTGGGGGGGGGGGGCGCCTGACCCAGCGGGACCCCTGCGGCTGAACCCAACACCGGGGCCGCACGCCCCCATCTCTCCCATTCATCTGCTTCTTTAAAAATGCAAAGCAAAAACAAAATAAATCTTTGAGCGCACAATGGGAACCTGTTGCTTGAAGAGTCACGCGCCTCTGCCAAGTGAACTCACTGCGCTGCGAGGCCAGGATTAATTTTGTTTGAATTGCGTGTCAGACAGATTGCACGTTATGATGGTTCAGCGAATGGAGTGTGTGGAATTGGAGCAATGTGCTTTTGAGGGTTTTTTTCCCTCCAATATACATTTTGGCACCGTTAATATTTTACTTGCACCTCGGGGGGCCTTGCTGTAGACGAGGTTTTACCGTTACGTTGGACGTAGCCCAGCTCCGAGAGATAAAGCGGTCGGAGCGTATCAGCCGACTGACACGCGCCGCACTGGACGAGGTGTAGCGCACGAGAGCGGGGGCCTGTGGATGTATGGATGTTGAACGCCTTTCGCATCGCGCGTAGCCAACCGTGATGAATTTCGATTTAAAGCTTTCGTGACTGCAGGGATTCATCTTCTTGGTTCTTTCGGTAAAGTCACGTAGAAGGGAAGTAATAAAATAATAAAAATAAAACATAATAAAACAATTGTTTTATTATGTTTTATTTTTATTACGTGACTTTACCGAAAGAACCAAGAAGACCAACCGTGATAATCGGAGGTGCGGTGAAGTCAGCCTCGGTGTCGTCACCTTCCCCACGCGCTGCGCCGCTGCAGACGCCGCCGACCCAAGGAGCGGCACGCCGTTTACTGCTCTTGGTTGTTGACGTTTCGGACGGAGCTGTGACCCGAACACACATTGACCCCGATGTTGTTAATGTGGCTATCACTCATTCCCCATCCTTCAAATCCGTTCATCATCTTTCATAGCCGTCAGTTTCGCTTTCACCTAATTCACGCATCGCAGATTTGCCCCATCGCTTCCTCTCATCTGTTTTATTCACCTCATATCTATCCTTACATTCATATGTGCCGTTCGTAATTCTCCGTAAAGCACCTAGGTTGAGGCGCTATATAAATTACGTGAAGATAAGATGATAATAATAATTTCAACTCGTAGCGAGCCACCGCACCTCAGTATTCGCTCGCTGTCAAAGAGAGAGAAGAACTCGGGGGGCCAGAGACAAGCCGGAAGGCAGCCATGTGTTCAGCTCAAGGTCTGCGTTCCTCTATATACGAAGGTGTTATCGACAGATGAATTAATGTTGACTTGTGTGAGTAAAACGGACGCAATCGGAGAAAATCTACACATGCAAGTGGGAAACGCGCTATCCCTCACAGACAGAACATGTGGAATCCACGTTTTTTCTGTTCTGCCTTGGAGCGAGCCAGGGTAACGGCAGCTCTCCGCCAGGGTCGAGTCACGTTGTAGCAGGGTCTTTAACGTTCCGCTTTGAGCGGAGAGCACGCTTCGGCATTGTGCGCAGAGCATCGTCCTTGTGGGCCGTGGCTCGAATTTAACAGCGAGGTGAGGGGGGGGGTACTCTGAGTGGGAGCAAGTCTGCAAGTGGGGGGGGGGGGGGCATGAGACTCTTGAGCAGCTGCACGAACATGAAGTCATTTGAAGCCCCGGCAGAAGTCCCCATGTCTCGACCACCTTCCGTGAACACCGCCTGTTCCACTCGCGGCTTGCCGAGAAAGGCGTCGAGACGCGTAAGCCCGTGGCTAGACGGCGGCGACAGGCCCTGTTGGCGCGGGTGCCCTTGCATCCTTCTCCCCCCGCCGCCCCGAACCTCGTCACGCCCCCTCCCTGCGCCACCTGTGAGCTACCGCGCGCCCCGTCTCGGGACCGCGATGATGACGCCTCCTCCTTCTGCTCTCGCGCCGTCGCCGTCGCAACCATAGCCAGAAGCCTGCTTCGTGCGTCCGGCACCACTGTGAAACTAAACTATTCTCATTTGACCAGGCAAGGCCCACTGAGCTCTGCAGCTCTTTTTCACAAGCGACCTGGCCCCAAATGATGGCTCAACGAAGTGGCTTATCACGTGGCAATGTATAGCAGCCAAATATTCCAAATGCGCGTCGATTCTAAATGTGGAGGGAAAATACTGGAGGACCGGGAGAAAAATCCACGTGACCATGGAGGGAGAGAGACATGCAAACTCTACATAGACAGCAGGCGTCAGGGTCGGGATTGAACCCACGACCTCCTGCATACCAGGCGAGGTAGTTAACATCTCCTCGCCATCGCGGCACCCAAGAGCCCCAGCTCGATTCTCCTGAATCATTTTCCCCGTGCCTGTGCACGTGCAGTGCTGTTGTCAGCCCACTGCTGGATGGTAGCTCCCCGCTCCGTGCTGGGGGTAATTTGACCATACTTCACCACGCCGGGGTCAGTGTGAGTTGGTGAAGGTGGAGGAGAGCCTAGACGTGGTTCAACAATAGACTACGGGACGCTTCAACGATGTATTTTACTGCACTGCCGTCTGCTGGCCACAGCGTAGCCGCGTAGCAGCCCCCCGTGACAGCCTGGCGTGCATCTTTGGTAAGTTCTTCAATCATTTGAACTTCCGGGTCATAGTGAAGTTGAAATCCCCATCAGGCTGTTAACTCGTCTCTTCACTCAGGCTGAATAAGATTATTACCACGGTGTGAGAAGTCCACAGTGGTTATTGGATTGCGAGTCGGGTTTGCCACCTGTCCCGGGTCTGACCAGAACAATGCAGGAATTGGCATCTGTGTTCGGGTGGCAGAGATTGATTTGTGCCGAGATCTGGTACCAGGGGTGCCAGCATTGATTGCTGTGTTGGATTTCATGACATAGTCCTGCACAGTGTTGTTGATGGTAGACCTGCGCTGACAAAGAGATGCCGCGCTAAAACTCGAGCTGCAGAAGACTCTCGGTGCTTGAATCGTGACTCGGCCGTGAGACGCGGCGTGGACCGTGGCTCGCACGACCCCCTGGGGGCTGTGCCCGCATCGCAGCCGCTCGGGAACAAACCTCGCACCCAGGGCCCTTGTGGGGACACCACGGAATAGCCGCGGGGCGAGCCCAGGGCCACTCGCGGACCCGTGCACTCGCCCGCGGTGCCTAGAGCCGCGACGGTTCCTACGCAATGGGTCGTGCCACAGTGTGGAGTGCGGAAGGTAGCAGGATGTTGACTACCTCGCCTGGTATGAAGGAGGTCGTGGGTTCGATGCCAACCCTGACGCCTGCCGCTGTATATTTGAGTTTGCGTGTTCCCCCCGTGGTCGCGTGGATTTTTCTCCGGGTCCTCCGGTTTTTCCCTCCACATTTAGAAACGTGCGTTTAGAGCATCTGGCTGCTATAAATCTGCACATGTTAAGCCGTTTCATTGGGCTATCATTTGTGGCCGGGTCGCTTCTGAAAAAGAGCTACGTAGCTCAGTGGGCCTTACCTGGTAAAATAAAAAATAGTTTCATTTTTAAATAGTTTAACAACCGTTGTACGTACGTATGTGCGTGTATGTTGAACTTCTTTCGCATCGTACGTATCCAACCGTGCTAATCAGAGGTGCGGAGAAAAAACTGTTGGTATTGCCGCGGTGTTGGTAGCAATACTATAATGTGCTGATTCCATCTGAGCAACATTGAACCTGAGGCACAGTTCTCACGTTACTTTTAATTATTTTCTTTATTTGAACATGTACACGTGTGCTTGTTTTATTTATCCTGTTTGGAACTTTCTGCTTTCATTGTGTGGTTAAACCCATTTCTCCTTTGACTAAGAGGCTCCTGAAGCGGTGATATCGTGGTGATTTAATAAATTCGTGGTTGTCATCCGGCCGGCCATCCTGTTTTTATTTGTGTATTAACTGTTGAATGCTTCACAGTGGACGTTAGGCATCTCCTGACGTCTTTCGAAAAGAGTAGGCCATTGTGCGGCGGGCCTCACGGTCCACATCTTCCAATTAAAAAAAACACGACAGTGAAGATAACTGAATTGAGATGACACACAGCAACACGGACCCCCCTACTGTCAAACTACCCCAGACTACGTCTGGGAAACTCGGCAGCGCCTTCCTTGGTGATTGCCTCGCACTGTCAGGGCGAGCGCGCAAATCCCGAGCACCGCTGCACAATCGAATCAATGAGTTTATCTCGGTGCAAAACTTTGAGCGCAGTGGGATGATAGAGTGGCTGACTCGTGCCTCCGTGATGCTGGCAGGGTCTTGCTTCATCCGCACGGATCAGCTGGACGGGGAGACGGACTGGAAGCTGAAGCTGGGCGTGACGTGCACGCAGCGCCTCCCAGCAGTGGCGGTAGGCCCGTCCTGCGAGTTTTCACCCCCCCCAACCACCCCCAACCCCCATCTATCCACTCCCCCGCACGTCCTGCCGATCGCCAGCACATGCTCACGCTCCGTGCCGCCCTTCCCACCGGACACGCTCGGGGCTGAGCCGACCCCGTCCTCCCGTCCTAACAAACGCAATTTCGTTCGCTTGGCCGTGGCCCGCCGCTGGTCGAGTTGAACTTCCCTTTCCCCGTGTCGTCTCCTCCGCTGGGATGGGCTCGCGCTCCCCATGCGGGTTCGTGGCCGTTGAATGCTGCCCGAGCTCCCGTGGGCATTCCTTCAGCTGTTATGCCTCTTAATGTGAAGCAACGGAGAGAACCTGCAGTGAGAATTGGCGCTCCCTTGGCACAGAATAGTCCACTGGTGGGCTTAGAACTATTATTATTACTACTTTTATAAGTTTTCGAGTTTATATCGATTCTTATGGACACGTGTAGCCCTGGTGCTCCAAAGTTAAATTCATGAACACTGCTGCATAAATGATTAAGTTTGCATTGAAATACACTTTTTTCTTTAAGATATGGAAAACATATACCGCTTACCATATTCCTTCAGCATCTGACGTGAGTAGAGGATTGTGCAGAGGCATTTGTGTCAGAGGGACGCGGTAAATCCGTGTTGCGCAGCGCCGCTGCTGCTGATGCCGTCGTTTGCCGCTGCCGCTGCTGCTATCCAGGACTTGGTGACGATCAGCGCGCACGTGTACGCCGAGAAGCCTCAGCTGGACATCCACAGCTTCACGGGGACCTTCACGCGGGTGAGTCCCGCGACGCCAAGATCGTAGTCGTTATCGTAAAAAAAAAACTAACGATTGGTTGTTGACGGAGCGCCGCCCTCCGTTACACCGAGGCGGTCTAGGAGCGCAAAAACATTTGCGACGGCGCTCCGAGCAGCAGCTGTCCCTTGTGTGACACGGTGTGACTCGGCACCCCGGCCTGCTCGTGGGCGTTAGTCTCCCAGTGGCGAGCGATGATTGCTGCTGCGTGTGTAATCCCCGTTGAGTAATTTTCGAGTACGTTTCTTTTTTTTCAATTTGGACTGTGACGCCGGCATACAGAATCAGAATGAGGAATCCGATGAGCTATAAAGCACTTTTTCACAAATGTCCAGTAGGGGCACTGGGGCAGAACGTTACAACAACAAATGACACAAAATAAACGGCCTACTCATGCAGATTGCATCACGGGATGTTTAACGTCCGCTGCGAAGCGGACGGCTTGGAGTAGTTGGCGGTTATTACACCGCAGTATTTGCCCCGGGTGGCCCACCGGATTCGAACCGCGAACCTCTGCAACGAGCGACGACGAACACACCGCCTCTTCGGCAACGTCACCCCCCCCCCCCCCCCCGAACACAAGTCACCGGTTGGGGCGTGACGCTGATTCTTAGATTTATAATGAAACGATTATACCCTTGGTGCATTGATTGCTGAATGCATGTTACAGTCACCGTCTACAATCCGTACGTGTGTATTAAGTCTTTGTACCTCCACGGCGTTTTTGCAGGTTCACACCGCCATCCGTGTTGCTATGCGCTCCTCGTGCACCAAAATTAAAACGCGATAATTTGTCCTCGAGTCGAATCTTGTCGCTCGATCGTTACCGTCCATCAAACCGCAGAGGAGTAAACCACCGCATTTCTCGTGCTTGTTCTAGGGGGGTCAATTCCAGCGCCGGGGAGACAAATCCGGCTGGGTGGGGGGAATGGGGATGGGGAGTGGGGGCGAGAGAGGGTGGCGGGGGCGGTGTCATACCGGCCGCACCGATACCTCGCGACATGGCCGGCCTCTGAATGAGCACGGGATTTTGCCCCCCGCGCGGCCTCCGCTGTGTGTGCGCGAGTGCAGGAGGACGTGAACCCCACTATATCCGAGAGCCTGAGCATCGAGAACACGCTGTGGGCCAGCACCGTCGTGGCGTCGGGTGCGTGGATGCGGCGCTCTGCTCGCGCCTGTTTAGTGACCGTCCGCGTACCCATGCCGGGCTCCTTGGGTTTGCCGACGTCTCCCTGGGAGTCCGGATCACCGAAATGCACGAAGCGAGGCGTTTTACTTTGTTTCGTATCACTCTACAAACGGCAGAGCCACAGGCCACGCTGTGGTTTGGCCTGGAAAGTGACACGATTTTCACCTGATGTCCTTCAAGGGTCAATCTGTTTGTTCTATATGGACCACACGCCAACTCTTTAACACTATAATCGTGCTCACCTGATAATGCACAAGCACAAATAACAAACAGTTTAAAAACTTCGCCAATAACAATAATGCTTAAAAGTAAAATATATTATAGACGAGGTTTCGGGCATCGGCCCTTCTCCACAGCACATAGATCTACTTGCCGTGCATTGCATAATGATGACAACGACGACGAGAGTGAGAGTGCGAGAGAGTAAAGAGGCATCGCCGCGTGTGTGCCCCGGGCTGCAGGGACGGTGGTGGGCGTCGTCATCTACACCGGCAAGGAGACACGCAGCGTCATGAACACCTCGCACCCCAAGAACAAGGTGAGGGCCCACGGGACCGCTCGCCCCTCCCCGCTCACCACTCCCCGCTCGCCACTCTCAGCTCACCACTCTCCGCTCACCCCTCTCAGCTCACCACTCTCCGCTCGCTCCTCTCCGCTCACCCCTCTCCGCTCACCCCCCTCCGCTCACCCCTCGATGCTCACCCCTCTCCGCTCACCCCTCCCCGCTCACCCCTCCCCGCTCACCCCTCTCTGCTCACCACTCTCCACCGCCTCCCCTTGCCCCTCCCCCGCAGGTGGGGCTGCTCGACCTGGAGCTGAACCGTCTCACCAAGGTGCTGTTCCTCGCCGTGCTCGTGCTCTCCGTGGTCATGGTGGCGCTCAAGGGCTTCGACGGGCCCTGGTACCGCTACCTCGCTCGCTTCGTGCTGCTCTTCTCCTACATCATCCCCATCAGGTGTCCACCCAACGCATACCCGTGTTGACTACGCTCACGCCTAACCCACCCCTGTATTATTTACACTCACACCTGCCCCATCCTTGTGTCACACACTGAACCCCGACTGCTATGCATGTGTGTTTCTGTACATGCCTGTGTGTGTCTGTGTGTGTGTTTGTGTGGTTCTACATGCCTGTGTCCTCCTGTGTACTCCCATGTGTACCCCTGTGTGCATCTCTACTGGACCCTGCCTGTGCGTGTCTGTGTGCCTGCGCATGTGCGGAGCAGTAGCGTAGCAGACAGCGCACTGCACTAGAAACCCGGCCACCCGAGTTCGATTCCCGCTTACTGCCGGCATCGGTGACAAACATCTGAACTGATCCTGGGCCTCCCCTAGGTAGACTCATCCTCAAGTGAGCACCCGGTGCGGTGTGTAAACATCAGCATTGGAGAGACAAAGGTGGTCGGGCGTGGTGTTGACCATTCACCACCTCGTGTGCCGTGCCAGCCTTAATAGGTGCTCCCTACCGGCACTGTACCCCAACAGTGTTTTGGCAGTCTGTGGGGGGTCTTTGTCTGTCTCTGTGTATGTTGCAATTCGTTCGCACCGTACTTAGCCAACGGTGTTAATCGGAGGGGCGTTTGTGTGCGTGCAGCCTGCGTGTGAACCTGGACATGGGCAAGGCCGCCTACGGCTGGATGATCATGCGCGACGACAACATCCCCGGCACCGTGGTGCGAACCAGCACCATTCCCGAGGAGCTGGGCCGCATCGTCTACCTGCTCACCGACAAGACCGGTCAGCGCCCCTCCCCTCTCCTCCTCCCTCCCCCCCTCCCCCCCCCTTCCTTCTCGGGGATTTTTTGTTGTTGTAGCCGGAAGCCTTATTTCTTGCAATTCTTTTCTAGGTTCCCTGCTGCTCGTTCCATCCATCGTAGCCATTCCTATTAAGGCGATTATGGCTAACGAACGACTTGGCTTGCGGAGGGCATGAGCCCTCTCGGTGTGCGCTCGCACTTTGTAGCCACGGCGGTGTTGGTCTGGATGTAATTACGTTGGACCTGGTCAACTTAGATGGCCGTGAGCTCTAGTTTGGGCCTAACCCATGGCTGTCGTCCCCTCTCTAATCACGTGCCCGTGAACACATTAGCCTGGGTGGCGAGATGTTAACTCCCTCGCCTGGTATACAGGAGGTCGTGGGTTCGATCCCGACCCTGACCGACCTCTGTATAGTTGGAGTTGGCATGTTCTCCCCGTGATCGTGTGGATTTTTCTCTGGGTCCTCCGGTTTTTCCCTTTTTCTTTCCACATTTAGAAACATGCGTTTAGACTATTTTGCTGTTATAATTTCCACGTGATAAGCCACTTCATTGAGCTATAATTTGTGGCCAGGTCACTTAAAAAGAAAGCGCCACGTCACTCAGTGGACATTACCTGGTAAAATAAAAATTAGTTTGTGTAGCCTCATCTTGGCCCATCCATAATCAGATCCCTCCTCTCTCTTCTGTCCCCTTTCCTACCCCAGTGTCTGACCCCGGCTGCCCTCTCTCTCTCGTGCCCCCACTCCCCACCGCACACCTTCACTGAGCAGGGATCTCGGTGCAGCCGTGGGGTGGGGGGGAGCAGGTCGGGACCGGAGCCGATAAACACGCCGGGTGAAGCAGCGGTTCTATTGGGCCCTGTTTAATTAGAAGCCGTGACACCCAAGCCATGTTTGGTCATTTGGTGCTGATCTCATTGTTGTGGTGACCCTGCAACAAATATCGCAGGCCCTGCGATCGGCTCAGTAAAACCGCACCACCACCGAGACCCTGTAGAACTCCGTGTTCTGGGAGCACCGCTCCGACTCGCTTGTGCTGTCACCGGCGCCATCTTCAACATCCTTTATGAGAATTTCGCAGCAACTTCAGTGGTAGCGGCGGTGCGGCCACGGGGGAGCACTGGCGCCATGGAAACGAGACTTTTAGGACGTCCATTACAGTCCTAATGATTACAATCCCATTGATTACAATCCCATTGATTACAATCCCGTGCTTCCTCCCCAGGGACCCTGACGCAGAACGAGATGGTGTTCAAGCGCCTGCACCTGGGCACCGTCTCGTACGGCACCGACTCGATGGACGAGATCCAGAGCCACCTCTTCAGCTCCTACACCCAGGTGAGGGAGTCGCACCGTGCTCAGAGCCGGTGCCCCGCGGGGGGCTGTCGGCACGCAGCTCAGGGGGGGCTGTCGGCATGCAGCTCAGGGGGTAATGTCGGCACGCAGCTCAGGGGGGGCTGTCGGCATGCAGCTCAGGGGGTAATGTCGGCACGCAGCTCAGGGGGGGTTGTCGGCACGCAGCTCAGGGGGGGTTGTCGGCACGCAGCTCAGGGGGGGCTGTCGGCACGCAGCTCAGGGGGGGCTGTCGGCACGCAGCTCAGGGGGGCTGTCGGCACGCAGCTCAGGGTGCCGGCGGCGCAGCGGCGCGACGCTCGTAGCTGGGCTCGTGGCTCCGCAGCAAGAACGTCCCCCTCGGGGTTCCATTTCCCGACTCGGGCGCCTTTCTGTAAAAAATGTTTTTTGGTTGGGTTAGAGCACGTGAATATAAATGTGTCGTGAAACAAATGTATTTCTTCAACTATTTGTTATTTTGCAGGTAAGGCCCACTGAGCTATGTAGCTACCACTAATGATAGCCCAATGAAGAGGCTTACCACGTAGAAATCTATAGCAGCCAAAGACTCTAAACACTTGTTGATTCTAAATGTGGAGGGAAAAACCAAAAGACCCGGAGAAAAATCGACGCAACCACGGGAAGAACATGTTGAGGTAGTTAACATCTCGCCACCACGGCTCGAAAGCCGCCACCACCCGACAGGCGATTGGCAAGGTGTGTCACTTGGACAAAACGTGCCAATTCGTTACTCGTTGAGCACACCAGTGTGTTGGAGAGTAAACCCACAACATTTACGCCTTACTGTGTCGAGTTCGCACGTTCCCTCTCCCACTGTTCTGCAGGGGTTTCCTCCGGGTTCCTCTGTTTCCTCCCATAGCTAAAATAAAAACACGCTGCTGGCCAAACATCCCATTGCTGAAATTTGACTTGTAAATTACTCAATTGGGATTACACACAGCAGCAGCAGCAGCAACATTGCCCCCTACTGCAAATGCTTAGCATGATGCCACGGAAATTCATCTTGAGACCCAGTATGGCTTGCCTGGGTGAACAGGCGTAATAATAAAAATAATAAATAACAAACCTGCACTGTGGTGACCTCCTGCTTGTGACAGGTGTAGAGGCAGTGTATTGTTACGGTAAACATTACCCACAATGTCTTGCTGTTCTTATTACATTATCGTTATTTTATTTAAAATATCGTCAACCATGATTGATACACCAATTAAACAATATCTGTCACAGACATCGTTTAATTGGTCGACGTTTAACTTTTCCATAGCTGAGCCAGCCTGGAAGTTGAGCTCTACAGTGGACCGTGTTGTAGTGCCCCCTTCTATCCACCGCGTAGCCCCCCAGTCCCGGCACAGCCGGTTCTGTGCGCTGTGCTTGTCCGTTGGAACTCTGTGCTCCTCCAGTGAGGGACAGGCATATTGTGGGCGCTCTCTTCACTTACCATGGGTACACGCTCAGTGTGGGCCATCCAAATGGCATCTTTTTTTACGAGAGAAACAAAAGAAAGGTTAAGAAGCCACAGAGGACTGCGTTGCAGATGGCGCCCGCCATGTGCGGCGCTAGCAAAGGGTTCAACGAAACGTGCCGAGAGGGAGGTTGCCGAGCAGTTTGAATGATCTCACGGCGCCGGATCACCGTGAGAAACGGTGTCGACCTCTCGGTTCGGAGACCAGGGGCCGCGCGGCAGGCGTCCCCTCGACCGCCCTCGCTCACTCGCCCCTGGCGAGCGTCCATCACCCGGCAAACGATTCCGATTTGGAGCTTGCTCGTCGTTGCGGCTCCAAGCGTTGTTCGATAACCTCCGCTAGGAGCAAACTTCACTCGTCCACCAGCAGCTGATGAGTATTTGCGGGGGGCCGAATGGTCCGGGGCTTGGGGAGGTGCGGTTGGGGGGGCGGTAAGGCACCTCTGTCTATTAGACAAGCGCTTGGTAATAGCCACAGCGCTCACTCTATTTCTATCGACGTGCGCGCAGTGCTTTCATCCCCGGGTTTCTTTTTATTTTTTTTCCACCAATGCCGGCCGGCCGACCCCCGATCGCGGCACCGCCACTTACCCGGGGGGGCCCGCAGAGGCACCCGGTGAGAGCCCCTTAACCCGTTCCGCCTCCCTAACGCGCCCCAAATTGGCGGGCGTTTGCCGCGCGCCTCCGACGCCGCTTAGTCACCGGCGGTGTCGCCGCAAGAGCCGCCGGCCCGGCACATCGATCGCCGCAGGTCCGCACGGCGGCGCCCGCGCTCGATCATCCGCGAGCGTCCGGCAGGCACACGTGCGTATCGACGTATTCCTCACGCCTGTCTCCCGGCCTGAGGATTTTATTACCGCTGCGCGCTGGGTGTGACAGCTTTCCAAAGTTGATCGTTAGTCGCATTGATCGCGAGCGCAGCGGTAATGTGTAAAATAGTGGCTTTTTATTTTCTTGAGAGCCGTGCGGTTTTGTTCTTTTTTTTGTTGTTGTGCTCCTTTTGGATCGCCCAGAATTGCCGGGTTGGTTATTGTGGCCATCCCAGCGTGTGTGTGCACGCGTGTTCCTGCCGCTCTGCCTGTCGAGCGCCCCTAACTTAAAAGCTGTTAGGAGAGTCACGGATCATTTTTTTGGAGGTGGAAATGAAGTCTCGTGAAGATCGATACATTTGAACGTGTCCGGCTGTGTTCCCTCATAAACCGTCGCGGAGGTGAAGCCGACGGTGACACGAGCGCCGCTTCGGTGCCTCGAGGGAGAGCCGGACCCAAACCGCCAGCGGTCACCGCACCTCCAGCCAGAAGCGGTCGTCTGGGGCTAGCAGCGGAGAAACAGGAACAAATGCATCGTTAGCCGTGTGAATAATATCTCGCTGACAAAATGCCACTGATAATGCAAAAATGCAACAGAATTCGCCGGTAACACTGTGCGGCGTGCAGCCTTAAGAGGAAAACAATGTTTAAGGTTGACGTTTCAGGCAATGGCGATTCTTCACAGTACACATTGGTCTCATTGAAATTACATCTTTTATTGTGTTGTGTGTTCTTAAGGGGGGTCTTACTTGATTGGTAACCCGGCAAATTTATTAAAGGGGATGTAAAAAAAAATTGCCATATATAGTGAGCGTCCGATGATGTCACAACACGTGGAGTCTATTCCACGACGTCACATGTTGTGTGACACCATCCCGTTGCCCGGCTCATTACCAGCCGTGATCAATCCACCGCTGGATGAATGCCTCCCCAATGAAATAATCAATGCTCGCGCACACAGTTCGATGCGCGAGTGTACTCACTGTTTGAAATCCACGTCATGTCGATGAATCGCCAGCGAGCGCCCCACTCGGTAAGGAGATCTGAGTGGGAGCCGCAGCCAGAAGGCGTCACACCCACAGTCCACAGTGAATCACTCGCCTGTCGGTGTGACTGCGCAGGCTCGCGAACTGACATCCACGTGCTCGTCCCTCCCAATCAACGGAGCGTCCCCTAGAGCCGGGCTTTCTCAAGCTCTCTTGTAGCCCGAGTGGTGACTGCACTGAAATCCATTGCAGAGTACATTCTCTTTTACGTCTTGCGTGGCCTTTTGCAGCCGATGGGCTCATTTCAGAGATTGGTACTCGGCAAACTGCTCACTCGTCTAGACAGATGGCAGTCTAGAGGTGGTGGTAAGATCGACCCTTTGAGGATACGGTGTCACTCTGGGCCATTTCCCCATCGGCCACCCGCTGTCGTTCTGTGTGCGTGGAGCCACAAGAGGGAAAAGCTTCCTTCGTCCGGGGTCGGCAGTGAGGTGGCTTGCTTGAAATCCAATCGGTAAATAAAACGCACGCACGCTCCACGTTGTACGACCGCGTCGCCGGTGAATGGGTTAAAGGGCAAAAGATGGCCGTGACGGAGCGGTAACAGCCGGCTGTGACCGAGGGCACGGCGTTCAAAATTACTCCGGCCTTTCCGCGCGCACTTTCAGCAAAATAATCAAAGCCAATTAGGCGGCCTTGTCGTTACACCGCGCGCTTAAATGAACTAAGCGCTGCCCCCATTTTTCTGCGCAACTCCGCTAAGTGGCGCCCGCGCACGCCGAGCGCCCTGCTAATGTCGTGATCTAGCGGCCGATGGTGACCCCCGGGTGGCTCTCTGTCTTCCCTGTCACGATCGTGCATTTTCACCGGCGCTCGCCGACCGACCGTCGCGCCAAGCGGCCGCCCGTCTTGTCGACCGAGCTGCACCAGCGGATGATTGATGGAGCGGCTCCGTGGCCCCCGGCTACTGGGCCGCGATGCTCGTTCACTACTCAGCTCTCTCGCCGCCGCGTTCGTCCGCGGGCGGCCGGAGCACGAAGTGCTGGCAGCGAGCGCCTCGCCACCCTGCGCCCAGCTGCACACTTGGGCAGAGTGAACCCAGTGCTCACCCTAATCAGCTGCCAGGAACAATTGCCAACGGTGTTGTTCACCCTGGTTACGAACTGAAAACGCGAATCCAGAAGTGTAGTGCAGTCTGATAACTGCTGTTTCAACAGCCGTTCGACACTAAGCGACGTCACCAGGGCGCTTGTATCGGGCTAAGTGCACCTTGAGACCACGTGAAGTGTCGAAGGCTCGCTGCTGGCGAGAGGTGATGGGGCAGAGCCAGGTGTTATGGGTTGACTGATTGCTCGCGAAAGATAAAGACACACACTGGGATCCCCCATCTTGCCATGTAGGCTCTTGAGAGAGGTGCTGTTTGTGAGTACCCATTAAGGCTCGCAAGGCACGCAGTGAGTGCACTAGGGGATGATGCGGCTAGCACCCCATGCCATGCCCCAACGGTGTCCAGGTTCTCATTGTGCACCAAGTTGGCCTCGAGGAAGTCACGGGTAGCTTCAGTGACCAATGGTCCATGTTGTGCGTGGCCTGCGGTGACATATTTAGATTATTTTGCTGCTATAAATTTCTAAATGATTAGCCACTTTGTGGAGCTATCATTTGTGGCCAGGTTGCTTTTACAAAATGAATTAATACCTCAGTGGGCTTTGTCTGGTAGGATGGGGATGGTTTAGTTTTATTTTAGTTTTTTGTGTGATTTGTTTGCCCACTCCTGTCGTGTTTTTGTATTGTTGTTGTAAAGTTTGTGCCCCTTGCCCCTACTGGATATTTGTGAAAAAGAGCTTTATAGCTCATAGAATTCCTCCAGTATAAATACATTTTCTGATTCTGATATGATTCACTGGGATTGTGTCACAGTGCGACGATTACCACTTGGTACCAGCCATCGGTAATCCATCTCCTCTCCAGCCCGTGCCGCTCGGCCACACACTCACACATCGGCCCATCTCTAGCCTGTGCCGTGCCCCCGTGTAGCCCCCGTATAGCCTGCACAGACTGTTGGGGCAAATGCTGTTAGCGAGCACCTATGAAGGTTGGCACAGCACACGATGGGGTGGGTTGCCAGCACCACACCAGACCGCCTTTGTCTCCCTAGGGGCGATGTTTACACACCACACCAGATATTCATTTGAAGCTGAGTCCACCTAGGGGAGGCCCAGGACCGGTTCAGATAATTGTCACTCGTGTTGGCCATGAGCAGGAATCGAAATCGTGTCGCCGGGTTCGTCGTGCAGTGTGCTAAACACTACACGCCCGCTCCCCACTGCACAATATTCTCACACACACACACACTGTGGTGGTGTAATGGCTTTTATTGTTGTGGTGACCGAGACCTCCCTTACAAGTGAGAATCTACCCAGGCCTCTGGTGTTCTCGCCCGGTCACACCAAATAGAGTGCTCGCCCGGTCACACTCGGTCACCTTGAACCCGTTGCGAGCGTCCTTGCCGCGCCGCCCACACGCGCACGCGAGTCGTGACCGCGCGCCGTTGCCCCCGTCCCGTGCAGGCCCCGTCGGGCCCGGCTCCGGGAGCGGCCCCCAAGTCGGGCGGCGCGGGCGCGCCCAAGCTGCGGCGCACCGTGGTGAGCCGTGTGCACGAGGCGGTGAAGGCGGTGGCGCTGTGCCACAACGTGACGCCCGTGTACGAGCGGCACGGCGCCGCCGGGGGGGCCGCGCCCGCCGAGCCCGAGGACGCGGAGGTCGACCAGGACCTGAGCGACGAGAACCGCGCGTACCAGGCCTCCAGCCCCGACGAGGTGAGCCGCTGCCGCTGCCGCTGCCGCTCTACGTGGCCCGGCGCAGCGCGTGGCCGACGGACCGCGACGCGTGTTTGCCTGTCATACGGTTTGTTCTCCCTGAACGCACGTTGCTTTCACGATGCGAATTGGATGTATAACGCGATGAATGTGTTGGAGGGACACTTTTTTTATAACGTGCATGCAAGTTGGATAGAACGCGATGGAACGAACGGAAGTACGTCGCGCGCGAGTAGGAATAAGCGGTTGTACGGCTGCCTCGGCGTAGCGTCGCACGAGGCAGTGGGATGCTGCTGGGTGCTTCTAGATGCTACCCACGCGCCTCAGCCTTTGTTCAGCCTGCGTACGCTCCTCATGTGTTAATCGCGGACTGTGCTTTACCCTATATTATTTCCTATAACGAACTTTTTTCCATAATGCGGTGTTCTTCAGGAACTCCCACGTTAAAGGAGAACAGACCGTACATGACAGTGCAATGTTACGATAACAATCATAAGTTCGTACATTCGGTATTTGTGCGATCGTTTTATAAGTCTGTGTGTGCACAGGAGCGTCTCGTTGTACGCTTGTGTACGTTTCTACATCCGTATGAATTTGCTGATGTCAATATGAAGTTCTGTCTGCGTGTGTCGGCATGTATCTTTGTGTTGAGCGACGTCACACAGTGTTTCATTACTTTGCTTTATGGTCCGGGCTCCTGGGAATGTGCACCGTGAGTGACAAGTACCATCTAAATCTGGCCTGGCTGTCCTCACAGCCTAACGAGTGGCCGACACAATTGTGCAGTCAACAAAGGCAGCCAAGCATGGTTCCCCACCACTCCCCCCACTCCCCCCATCCATCCCCCACCCCCATATAGCACGGCGGCCTTAATAGGTGTTCGCTAACAACGCTGGCCCAGTAGCGGTCTGTGAGGCTACTTGGGGATCTCTTTGTTGAATGCACACGCGCGTGAGCGTGTACGCGAGCGAGTGAATGTATGCGCACGCGCGTGCGTCCGTGTGCGAGTACGTGCGTGTGCGTGTGTGTGCGAGGCTCTGGCGTAGGCTGGGAGTAATTGGGGGGGGGGGGGTGTGTGTGTGGTGAGCGCACGGCACAGTTCACATTAAAACCCCGAGCGCATTGAATTCCCGCGCGGTGCCTCGGCCGCCGCCACCGCCATCCGAGACGCTTTCAGATTCGTGTCCTTTTTGTTGTTTGATTACAAAGCTATGAGCTCATTTTGGCATTTTCCCACGGACGGGAGAGATCCCCAGCGACCCCTCCTGTCCTCCCTCCGGTACACTCAGAAATTGTTCAGGGACCCTTAATCCTGGCATAAAGAAGTTAATTAACAGCCGGGGATTATGCTGTTTCAAGTGGAAATATCTACAGATGCAGCCGAACTGCAGTGACTCGCTCCCATATATTTACACGTGTGTGTGTGTGTGCGCTTGTGTGAGTGAATGTGTGTGTGTGTGGGTCCCGGTTACGTGACGGTCAGCACCCGGGGTTACCATGGCAGCAACTCGGGTTCATTTCAGCAGTGATAATGGCTACGTGACCCTGGCCTGGGAATCCCTTGAGTTAACTCATCATAATGTGGGTACAAGGTCTGATCGTCCGCACGTCGGCAGGGGGTGGAAAAGGTCCCAACCAGCACTGCATGTGATATATATAATCGGGGACGTTTGGCCAGCTCCAAGAACGAGCGAGTTGTTTGCACGACAGAACCGAGTCGTGTCGGTGGGGCTGCGTTTGCGTGCGGCGAGCAGGTGGCGCTGGTGAGCTGGACGGAGAGCGTGGGCCTCACCCTGGTGAGCCGCGACCTCGCCAGCATGCAGCTGCGCACGCCGGGCGGCCACGTGCTCACCTTCACCATCCTGCAGGTGTTCCCCTTCACCTCGGAGAGCAAGCGCATGGGCATCATCCTGCGGGTGAGCGCACGCACACCTACGCACGCTTGCCCCGGGCACCTTCACGGTAGGAGTGGTTTTCTGCTGGCCGTATTTTGAGACGAGCTGGAACCAAACCGTGATTCGCTGGCCTCGCAAGATGTCTGAATCTGGCTCGGGGAGCCAAGCAGGGCCAGGGGCGGGGCTTAATGATACATCCATTGCCCGTGACGTCAGAGCTACAGCTCAGCTTTTGCAGTGGGAAAATATCGCCGGCGCCTCCTAAGCCGCGCCAGGCTGGCTTGGCATGGCCCCGGTGTAGCTCGGTTATGCAGTGGAAAAGTACCATGAGTGATGTACGTATGTTTCTTCTTTTGCACCGTACCTAGCCAACCTTGTTAATTGGAGGTGCAGGGGAAGAACAACAAAATAAACACGAATGGCATTTCTAAACAAATTCGTTTTCAATCTAGATTTTAAAGTGCACAGCAGAACAATCTGAAAACAGAGATGTGCTTCCACGAAGCCATTGGCACTACAAACACTGGCAGATGAGAGGCCACCGCTCAGGGTCTATCAGCCACCAACCCCTACACTGGGACACGAGCTCAGAGAAATCCCAGCAGCAGAATGCGACTTTTTGAAATCCTGACCAAACCGTGGATCACATTCTGAGCCATTTTTAAGCTCATAAATTCACAGGATCCATTGAAGACATCATTCAACATTCCCCCGAGGCTGTGCGTTGGCGATCCGACCTGAACATGGACCTATGGGTGGCTGTACAAAACCTCGCCCCAAGAAGGAGGAGAATTGGGGAGAATGCTCAGATTTGCATTGCGAGCTACACGAGTGCCACACAGTGGCCACCGTTGGTAAATGCGCCACGGGGTCTGTGGCGAGCACGCTGCCGTGCCCGGCTCGCTGCGCCCGGCTTGCTGTGCTAATCAGGACGCGTAGGAAGTGTTGCTGGAAATGACATCCCGCACGCGTTCACGGGCTCGCGTTCACGAACCCCGCGGTGCGGCGTCGCCGCTGTGCAGTGCGCGCAGGATGAATCGACGGGCGAGATCGTCTTCTACATGAAAGGGGCGGACGTCGTCATGACCAACATCGTGCAGTACAACGACTGGCTGGAAGAGGAGGTAAGGACGCTTCTGCACGAATAATATAATCATCACGTGCAAAGCCCCCGCACAGTATTGCTCACTCTCTAAGAGAGAGTGAACGACCGCAGAGGCGCCAAGAAGAACCACAGGCAAGCAGGAAGGCAGCCCACACGGTGAGCCGGCACCAACAATTGCCCAAGCTCTTCGGCCCTCTATATAGTAAGGCGTTATCGGCCAAGTAATGAGTGTTTACATGTGGGAGAAACCCCACACGAGCGATGGGGTATACACTCCGTGTTTTATCGTGTGTATCACGTATCGATGAGCTTTGTGTGCCGTATGTCTGGACGCTTGTTCCTCACAGCAAGAAGGCCCTGGGTTCGAGTCCCGGCTCGGGTGCCTTTCTGTTTGGAGTTTGTGAATTTAAATGCCACCGATTTGACAAATTGACACAGATTGGTGATTTCAGCCGAGGATGACGTTGTTGTCGCGAGTGAGCTAGCGGGTGAGCGAGAGAGGATGAGTGAGCGGGTCGGCGAGCGAGCGAGCGCGTGGGTGAGTGGGGTAAGGACCGCCCCTCCGACTGCACTCTGCAGGCGCCGTGCAGAGCGACGCGGGTGGCGTGTCGGCTCTCGGGCGGGGGGGGGGGAATGTTTCTCTGCCCTGGCGCGACTCAACGAATTGTTGCGATTCATGCATGACGATTTCATTCCGGGATCTGAATCAAAACTGAGAGAGAAACGGAGCCATCAGCCCAGAAGGAGTGATTTGGCTGCTATACATTTTCATGTGGTAAGCCACTTCGTCGAGCTATTATTTGTGGCCAGGTCGCTTCTCAGAAAGAGCTACATAGCTCAGTGGGCCTTACCTGGTCAAATAAAACATCGTTTAGTTTAGCTGCGGGGACAGCCAGCGCATCGCCGCTCCTGCTGCTACGATACCTACAGTACCTACAGTACCTATTCCGCCTTGCTTTGATGAACACACGCGCTCGACGGACGGTGGCCAAACTCCAGATCTGCCGTGGCACTCGGCCCGGCAGCCGCCAGTCGGATGCGAGCGGTGAAACGAAAGAGTCTTCTCTCAGGAAGGAAGAGATTCCAGCGGGCCGCGTCGCCGCCGATCGATACGGCGTTGATATTAAACTAAAATGCGACCCAACTGGGGTTTTTTTTTTGGGTTGTGCCTTTAAATGTGCGTGGGCGCCCGCAGGCAGGAGCCGGTGTCGCCGGGAGTGGCTGATGGATTGATCACTCGGCCCCGCGCTTAATAAACGCTTGATAAATGAGCCCTCGTGCTCTCCCCCCCGCCCCCACCTCCGTATATATACGGGAACCCGCTCTCCCCCACCCCCACTCTCCCCCACTCTCACCCCCGTGTATACGGGGGCCCACTCTCCCCTCACTCTCCCCCCACTCTCCCCCCACTCTCCCCTCACTCTCCCCCCACTCTCCCCCACTCTCACCCCACTCTCACCCCACTCTCACCCCCGTGTATACGGGGGGCCCACTCTCCCCCCACTCTCCCCCACTCTCCCCCCACTCTCACCCATGTATACGGGGAGCACACTCTCCCCCCCACTCTCCCCCCACTCTCCCCCCACTCTCCCCCCACTCTCCCCCCACTCTCACCCCCCCCCCCTCTCCCCCGTGTATACGGGGGAGCCCGCTCTTCCCCCACTCTCACCCCCGGGGGGCAGCGCTCACAATCGGTTTCGGACGCCGCGCCCCTGACGCGTGCAAGTGATTTCATGGCTGTTTGTTGCCCTAAAGGCCGCCTTGTTTTTTCACCCAACCCTCGCGCCACCGCCGCTGCCACGTCGTGTTCCCCGCGACCGACGTTCAGCAGCCAGGCTACGGCGCGGCCCCGAGCGGAGCTAGACCACCATATGGGATCGCGAGGCACGCTGCGTGCGACGCCTTTTCCACGATAGTTCTCCCACCTGCTTGAGCGTAGACGTCGAACCCAAGGGTTCTTTGCGGAGAGCTCGTCCGCCCGAGTAAGGGCCGCGAGAGGCACGGTGTGCCCATCCTCGGGGTGTCGCTGAGCGGCGCGCGTGTCGACCGCCAGACCAGAACCACACGAGGTGTGATACGTGTAGGCGCAGCTCGAAACGCCGCGGTGGCGAGATGTTAACTACCTCGCCTGGTATACAGGAGATCGTGGGTTCAATCCCGAGCCTGACGCCTGTATATTTGGAGTTTGCATGTTCTCCCCGTGGTCGCGTGGATGTTTCTCCGTGTCCACCAGTTTTTCCTTCCACATTTAGAAACATGCGTTTAGATTATTTGGCAGCTATAAATGTCCACATGACGACAAGCCACTTCGTTGAGCTGTCATTTGTGGCCAGGTCTCTTCTGAAAAAGAGCTCTATAGCTCGGTGGGCCTTACCCGGTAAAATAATAAATTAAAATAGAATAACACGCGAGGGTTCCCATCCGCGATGCCTCGTACCCAGTGGTCATGGATTATGAGGCCACCACACTGATGAGACGCAGTGAAGTCGACGCTTTGCCAATTCTTTTAGGTGGTTGTAAAAAAAAAGGCATCATGCTTCAATATTTGGTGATGTGTTGACAATTTTGCTGAAGTATGAAACAAAACTCGACCTGTGTGTATGACCTTTCATTTCCCCATATTGTGATTTGAACCAACCTTCGTCGACGTCATAAACTTGGCCACCGGTGTCTGCGCTCAGGGGAGGAATGTTGAAGTTCCAGGTCGCCCTCGACGCGCTACAACGCTGCACATCGCATTGTGCGACACGCCGTCGTAGACATTCTGACATCCCCTCGGGGTCCATTTAAAGCGGCCGCAGGTGGTTCCAGCTGTTCGCGTGAGTTGTTTGCTGGGCACCTGTAGACTCGTGGATAGCGTGCGTGTTGACTCGGCAAGGCCTCACGCTGTCGCCGTGAAGCCTGCTGCACCAGGAATGGCGGCCTGTTCCCAGGTGGAGCCTTTGATCCCAGTGGGGGCCGGATCGTCGCTGAGGCTACCTTGCGAGGGAACAATAATAGTCGTTGTGATAGCGCGCGCTGAATTCTCGCAGCGAGTCGCTAACGCAATTCGGAGGTGCCTGGCAAGGCCCGGGCGTCGCTCGCGTGCTCTGACCGAGTGCTCTGATGTACAGATGTCGTTTCACCTTTCTCGGTGAGGCCGCCGGTGAAGCCCTCGCTCGGTGCGTCTAGCCCAGGGGTCGGCAACTTGCGGCTCCACGGGGAACTGGAAGTCTAGTTCACCGTGGAAGTCCAGTTTACCGTGGGAGTGCAGTTTACCGTGGGAGTGCAGTTTACCATGGGCAGGGGTCGGCAACTTGCTGCTCTGGAGCCGCATGCGACTCATGAAGGACTCTTTGATGACGTTATTTATTAAGTACCACCGTCTCGTATTTTCACGCCTTCCGGCTCTTGAAATATTGGGTTTTTTAAATGTCTCTTCTTGTTGTTTGGGTTGCCAAACCCTGGTCTAGCCGGAGGAAGCTTATTCCAGACGCGGGGAGCGGAGGCTGTGAAGCGACGTTCCGTGAGCTCGTTACAGCACCGGCGGCGAGGTTGGCATTTGTGAAGTCGCCCGTTGTGTGCAGGCGTCGCTCTCCGGGCTCGGGGATCGTGAATGATAAACGCTGCGGCTGATGGTGAATTAGCGCCCAATGACGCATGGAGCCGAGTTTGCCTTGCCAACAGCCGATACCAGCGGCGTCAAGATCACACAGCGAGGTGGCGCGGTGGGGAACGCAGGTGGTGCATACGCCATTCAGTCAAACCAGAATACTTGGGTCTGTCCCGTGGCCTGTCAGCAGCGAGCCTTCCACACTTGATGTGGCTTGAACGCACCTAGCTTGGCGCAAGCACCGTGGTGTCGTCACCGCCGACCGGTGGTGGTGGGGGGCTGCTGCTGTTGATGAGGTGTGCGACGCCGAGGCTGACGGTGCCGCTGCTGCTGTGTGTGGCGCAGTGCGGGAACATGGCGAGAGAGGGCCTACGCACCCTGGTGGTGGCGAAGAAGACCCTCACGGAAGAACAGTACCAGGACTTTGAGGTAAGAGTACACATCACGCACGCACGTGCGTGTGTGTGAAGAAGGTGCATGGGTTAGTGCACTGCACTACAAACCTGGTGTGTTTGTGTGGTGTATCGTGATGTGTGTACTTGTTTGTGTGTCAATGTCTTTAATGTGTCTGTGTGCTCATGTCTCGGTGTGTGTGTCGGTGTTTTTGTCTCGGTGTGCATCTTTGTGCGTGTGCTTTGGTGTGTGTCTCTGGTTCGGTGTGCGTGCCTTTGTGTGTGTGTCTTTGTGTGTGTCTTTGTGTGTGTGTCTTTGTGCGTGTGTCTTTGTGTGTGTCTTCGTGCGCGTCTCGGGGGTGTGCGCGGGCCGGCGTGCCGCCCTCACATCCGTGTCCACCACGCCGTCGCTGCTCCCTCGCTGCGTGCAGAGCCGCTACAGCCAGGCGAAGCTGAGCGTGCACGACCGCTCGCTGAAACTGACGGCGGTGATCGAGAGCCTGGAGCGCGGCATGGAGCTGCTGTGCCTCACCGGCGTGGAGGACCAGCTGCAGCTGGACGTGAGGCCCACGCTCGAGATGCTGCGCAACGCCGGCATGAAGGTGGGGACGGCGGGGGGGGGCGGTCGCACGTGAGCCACACGCAGCCCCCACCCAGTAACCCACTTGGCAGCAGGAGGTGGAATCGCAGTGTGGATGTAAAAGTGAACCGCGCATGTCAACGCACTGTACACATGCTGGGACGTGCAGGGGCCCGGGGAGATGTACACGGAGACGGTGATGGGGTGGGAGACGGTGATGGGGTAGGAGACGGTGATGGGGTGGGAGATGGTGATGGGGTGGGAGATGGTGATGGGGTAGGAGACGGTGATGGGGTAGGAGACGGTGATGGGGTGGGAGACGGTGATGGGGTAGGAGACGGTGATGGGGTGGGAGATGGTGATGGGGTGGGAGATGGTGATGGGGTGGGAGATGGTGATAGGGTGGGAGACGGTGATGGGGTGGGAGACGGTGATGGGGTAGGAGATGGTGATGGGGTGGGAGACGGTGATGGGGTAGGAGATGGTGATGGGGTGGGAGACGGTGATGGGGTGGGAGACGGTGATGGGGTAGGAGACGGTGATGGGGTAGGAGACGGTGATGGGGTAGGAGATGGTGATGGGGTAGGAGACGGTGATGGGGTAGGAGACGGTGATGGGGTGGGAGACGGTGATGGGGTGGGAGACGGTGATGGGGTAGGAGATGGTGATGGGGTAGGAGATGGTGATGGGGTGGGAGACGGTTATGGGGTGGGAGACGGTTATGGGGTAGGACACTTTTGGACAGATAAAAACTTGACACTGTCCAGGTGCCTTCAAAGATTTTGCACGGTGAAGAGACACACAGTGAGAGGCAAGGGAGAAGAGGAAGGACTTCAGCCCGGATTCGAACAGGATGCGGAGTCACCGGTTGTGATGGGTCGGGGGTGGCGGCAGCAGTTGAGAGGCAAGGAGCTGCCATCGCGACGAGAGCGTGGAGGCGAGCGGAGCGATTCCCCTTTGCTGGCGATGCCGGCGATGACGCCGCTCCCCAACGAGGAAGCAGGGATGGTCACCCGCTCGTCCGCAAGGGTCACGATGTTCGGAGTGTGCGTCACAAACCGAAAGTCGCTCGTGAACGTGGAATTATGGGAGGTGGTGACGCGTGTGCCGCCCTCGGGTCGCAGATCTGGATGCTGACGGGAGACAAGCTGGAGACGGCCACCTGCATCGCCAAGAGCTCGCGCCTCGTGTCGCGCACGCAGGACATCCACACCTTCCGCAACGTGAGAGACACGCGCGCCTTGAGACACACGAGTGACACGCATCCTACTTGAGACGCGTGCTGTGGGTGTGGGGCCCTGTGTGTGACGCCCGTGTTGTGTTCCCCAGGTGAGCAATCGCGGGGAGGCGCATTTGGAGCTCAACGCGTTCCGCCGTAAGCACGACTGCGCGCTCGTCATCTCGGGCGACTCGCTGGAGGTGTGTGCCACGCCGCCACCACCACACCACCACTGTACCACCACCACGCCGCCACTACGCCGCCACCACGCCACCGCCGTCCTAGCGCTGCGCCACCACCACGCCACCACCGTGCCACCACCACTGCACCACCACCACACCACCACTGCACCACCACCATGCCGCCACCACGCCAGCACCGCGCCACCACCACGCCACCACCGCACCACCACTGCACAACCACCACGCCAGCGCCGCACCACCACCGCGCCACCGCCACACCACCACCACGCCAGCACCGCGCACGTTTGCTCTACCAAATTGAAGGTGCGACACAAAGAAGCACCTGGTCCCGTTTAAGTGGCGCGGTCACCATGGAAGCTGAGCAAGAGGTGGAGGGCGCTTGACCCCTTTGCCACGTTTAGAGGAAACGTGCGCTAAGAGGCTCGGCCGGGTAGCGCTGCACCCGCGTCCGCACACCGAGTCGGCACCGCTCACGTACCGTGTTCAAATCCTGGCCTTTGTGCCCCGGATTAATTGGCCGAGGTTCCCGCGTACGTCGTGAGCGGACATCTGTGGAAAAGAACCTCGTCGCAGCTCATCGGATTCCTCCAGTCTAAGCGAAGGTTCTGATTCGGAGTGCGGCGAAGGCGTCGGGCTGCCGAGCCGACGTCTGCGCTCTCAACTCCGCCGGGTAAACGGTCGTGGTGCTGCGAGGCCCGACACGCTGCGAGCAGCGGGCGGCGCACGGGACGCCGCGCGCACGCGCCACCCGGGGAGCGTGCGGCGGAGAGTTTGTGGACAGAGAAGACTCCTGGGGGAGGCGCGGAGGAGTAATCGCGATAAATGGACAATTGGTATTGGCGCTGTCATTCTTCTAGCGCAAGGCGAGCACAAACTGCTTTTTGAACTGGTATTCGAACTGCGTTTTGTGTTTAGTTGTCCTTCCCACGTTCCTCCGATGAGCACGGTTGGCTATGTACGGTGCGAAAGAAGTTCAACAGACATACGACGGCGCTATGTTCAATAGTCTGCAGTAGTCCCACAGTAGGAGGCGATGTTCTGCGTGAAATCTCAGTTCAGCGTGGGTCATCTTTTGAAGTTGACGCTCCCGATCCGGAATGAGGAAAAAGTTTCTTGAGAACTTTCTCTCCCCCCCCCCCCCCCCCCCTTTAGATTACGGCGCTCGACTTTTTTTAAACTATCGCCACGGACGAGCGGGTAGTCGGCCGGGCGGGCAGGCGGGCGGCCGGGCGGGCGGCCGGGCGGTCGGTCGAGCGGTAATTGAGTTTGTCGGCGGCAGCCAAGCGAGGGTTGGAGGGGGGCGGCCCTGACGGCTCCGGGCCCCGTGGCGGCGAGGAGGGTTTTTCTCCGGCAGCTGCCGCAGCGGCGGCAGCGGTCGCGGTGGCGGTGGCGGCTCGCGCTGCCGGTGAGATTTAGTGGCTCCGCAATGGGGGCTGACAGGCGGCCGGGGCTATTGATAAAAGTGTTAGCGCGGCGGGCGTGGGTCAAACCTCCGATGACAGGTTTGTCTGCCCAAGAAAACGTAGGCAATTTGTCTTCTTTCTGCGTCCAATCTGCGGCGTATTGACTTTCTGTTAGGCCTGCGCTTAGTGTGGCTGGGCTGGGGGTGGAGGGGGGGGGGCGCAGAGGGAGGGGGGGTGGAGGGCCGTGGGGGCGCGGAGGGAAGTGGGGGGGGGGCGTGGTGCATGGGGTGCCGAGGGGGTCGGGCTGGCGGCTGTTGAGGAGCGGAGGGGGACGGGGCGACTTGAGGAGCGTGACGAGCGAGGGGGAGGAGGAGGAGGAGGAGAGGGTAGTTTTTGTGAACACAACGACGGGGAGAACACTCGTCGCAGCTGAGGAGGCCGCTGGGTGGCTCAGAGGCTGAATGGCCCGATCCTGAGAGTGACCACCACTGTTAACTTCCCACAAATGCCAGTGTCTGGTTTTGTCACCCGTGGAGGGGATGATGAGCTGATTGACCCATAACTGGGATGTTAACTCGGACCCCTCCAATCGTCTGTCACTGTGCAACCATTTCTTTTAATACGTTTTGTCTTTTTTTTCATTTTCTTTCCGCTGAGTGAGAGCCAATTGAAAGTCTAATCCTGTGATTTTTCTTGGGAGGCCAGTGTCCACTGCCGTTGTTACCAAGGGCGGGTTGAAACAACCCTGCCGGAGTGGTGCGGGTGTGAGGCAGTCTGTGTGGGGAGCCGTAGCGTGGGGGTGAGTGCGCTGCGCTACGAACCCGCCGACTCCAGTTCGATTTCCGTCTCACGGGCAACATCGGTGACCAACATTCATTCCGGTCCTGAGCCTCCTCCCCCAGGTCGACTCAGCCTCAAATGAGTTCCTCGTACAATGTGTAAACATCGCCACTGGGGTGTGGTGCTGGTCACCACCCCCTCGTGTACCGTGTTGGCCTTCATAGGTGCTCGCTAACAGCACTTGCAAGCACTGCAAGGATACATGAGGGATCTTTGGTTTTGTCTTTGTGGTTCGAGCACCGGAGTGGTTCAGTCCCAGCAAACCTGGTTTCAGACCGGGCCGTGCCATCATTGGAAATTGGAAGCTGAAACTTGACCTGAATGTTACTGAGATCTACTCCCTCTAAAACGGTGGCGTTTGTTTTATCATCAGCAGTAGAGAGACAAAGGTGGTCGCGTGTGTGGTCCTCCCCTCACTCCTGCTCTTAACAGGTGCTCACCAACAGCACTAGCCCGAGCATTCTGGAGTACACAACAAGCGATCTTCGTGTGTGCGCGTTCACAAACTTGATAACGCGCGCGGGCTCGTGTGCGTGCACCGGTGTGTACATCGATGGGCGTACTTCGCGCCCACACGTATAAGCACACAAAGGCCGACCCGCCGCGCGGGTTGGAATATCCACGCCCCAGCGGTAACGCAGGCCCGGGCACCTTGGGAAGGGGTCACAGGTCGCGTGAAGCTCAGCCAAAGGTCGTCCCTCTGGAGGTGGCCAGCAACGAGCATTCGTCTTCATTAGCGTCACTCAGGCGTCGGGGACGCAGCCACCGCTGCTCCCCCTCTTATCTCACGCTCCCCCGGTGCCGCTCCGCTATTAAGGCGATCACCCTGCTCACCCACTACACATTTGGAACTCTCTCTTTATTGTGAGAGCGAGTGTGTCTGTGCGTGTGTTTATGTCTGTTATGTGTGGAGCGGTAGTGTGTAGCGGTTAGCGCGCTGCGCTACGAACCTGGCCACCCGGGTTCGATTCCCGCTCACGGCCAATACCGGTGACGATTATTTGAACCGGTCCTGGGCCTCCCCTAGGTCGACACAGCCTCAAACGAGTAAATGCTGTGGTGTGTGAACATCGCCACTGGGGAGACAAAGGCGGCCGGGCGTGGTGTTGGACACCCACTCCCTCGTGTGCCGTGCCGGCCTTCATAGGTGCCCGCTTACAGCACTTGCCCCAACAGTATGCTAAGGCTATACAGGGGATCTTTGACTTTGTCTTAGTGTGTCTATTTGTGTGTTCCAGTGTGTGTCTGTCTCTGTGATTGTATGTAGGGGAGTGGTAGCGCAGTTGTGAGCACACTGCTAAAAATCCAGAAACCTGAGTTCGGTTACCACTTACAACAGAGGTCTCACTCCAAATCAGTCTGATTATCTTCTCATCGGCTGTGCAACGCTGTGCGCAAGCTGCTGGGTCTGTTGCTCCACGTGGAGCTCTTGGTCATCTCAGCCAGTTATTCTCTCCCTGCCCTATGCTTACAAAACGCGAATTCCTTTTCATAAACACCTCCACTGGCTTGGCATTTTGAAGCTGACCCGTCTACGATGCATTCTGGATTTAACCAGACTAAAAAATCTGGACACAGTCCGTTCAGTAAGCTCCTCCGGCAGGCGAGGCTGCATTGGCAGGGTCATGTAGCCCGCATGCCCAGCCACTGCTTACCCGAGCATCTTTTGTTTGGCCGGATAGAGGGGGCTAAACAGAGATGACACGGGCTGAAGAAGAGATGGGCTCGTGCGACACAGAAGGACTGGACTTGCCAATCATTAGTACCAGCGGTTTCAAGATCCATACTCTTTGGTTCTTTGGATAAAGTCACGTAGTTAGAAATAAATTCAAATAAAACATATCACAACGTTTCGATTGCAACACAAGCAATCATCATGAGGTGGGAAAACCACAGCAATATTTTTTTTGCTGAAGTGGGAGAAAGAGCTGCCGTGGCAAGAGGTTATATAGGTAAGAAGGGGGGAAGGGCAAGGGGAGAGAAAGAGAGGGGGGGGTAGGGGGAGGGGAGCGCTGCGTGAGCGCTCGGAGAGGGGACGTGAAGCTGGACGGGGGAAGTGGGCGGGGCTGGGAGTGGGCGGGGCTGGAAGAGATGCGGGGGGGGGGGAAATTAACTCGGCAAAATAGACTCGTACCCGGCAGATATGATAGACACAACCATAAAGCAGTTACGGTTTTACCTGGTTAATAACATCCTTCCAATGATTGCTACATTTGTATCCATCTTCTCGGTTGAAGTTATGTCTGTTTATATATCTGGATGGCTTCATGAACAAACCTTTGATAGTAGCCAGAAGGTTTGCAGAGGAGTACCTTGGTCTCGGAAAAAACAATATCATGCGAGCCCACTGCGTTATAACAATGATCAGCCGCGGCAGAGGTATTGGTTCTGCCGTGTTTCAGATCTGCCTTGTGTTCGTGGACACGGTCCGAGAGATGTCGTTTCGTTTCCCAATGTAACTGCTGCCGCAGGTACAACTCAGTTTGTAAACTCCAGGATATTGCATGTCAGGAATGGCATCCTTCACAGATGGGATCAAATCACGGATTTTGTCTACTCTATTGCATCGGACCTGGATCTTGTGTTTGTTTAAGAATTTGGAAATCTTTTTGGTAACACCTGCTATGTTTGGTAACATAATTGTTTTGATCGGCGAATAATGCGGTCCAAGTACCCATTCATCTTGAGGGCCTGGTGTACGTGTTCCAGTTCACTGGCTAGGTGGTGTTGGTCGTAAATGCAAAGGGGCCCTATGGTGTAGTGTTTTGATGAGGGAATTCTTCTGTGCCTCACGTCCCCTCCTAGCGTTCATGCAGCGCTCCCCTCCCCCCCTCTCTCTCCCCCCTTGTCCCTCCCCCCTTCTTACCTATATAACCTCTTGCCACGGCAGCTCTCTCCCACTTCAGCAAAAAAAAAATTGCTGTGTTTTTCCCACCTGATGATAATTGCTTGTGTTGCAATCGAAACGTCGTGATTTGTTTTATTTTAATTTATTTTTAACTACGTGACTTTACCGAAAGAACCAACGAGTATGGATTCCTGCAGTCACGAAAGCTTCAAATCAAGATTGGTTTCAAGATCACCTTCTGTAGAGTGGGTTCGTGAATGACGCTGCTGATCAGTTGGATGCATTTTCCCTCCAACGACAATGGAGGTTAGAGGAGCGACGCCCACCGCAACAAGTGTCCAATGTGTGATGTAAAAAAAAATTGTTATCTGGAGGGACAGATATATGAAGGGAGACATACAGTAAATCCTCGCTAAGCGCGAGTTCTGCATTTGAGGGTTTTGCATATTCGCGAGTTTACTAAGAGTATACCAATTCCCTATTCAGGACCCGCCAGACTCGAGTGTTGGCGAGTGTACGTCGCGTCAGACCCCCGACGCCGGGGAGGTGCGCGCAGAATGTTGTTAAGATTAGGCACGCCACCCTCGGCCGCCCGCTTAGTCCTCAGTCTCGCAGTAATCCCGCTCTGAACTTACTATTGTGCAGTTTTACGTTGTTTGCACCTACAGTCGACTCGTTTTACACGTTTTGATATCAACGAGTTGATTTGTGAGGTCCATTCAAAAGAAAAGAATGGGGAATGCAGTCATGGAAAGTGTTGCAGCTTGCGCTCCCCAGAGTGCGAGCATGATAACAGCTGTGCGGTGTCGTTATCAAACACCGGCGTCAGCCGAGGAGTCGTCCTCCAGAAATCCTCACCATCACCACCACCTCCGTCTTCGTCAAATCATCATCAAAGGGAATAAGAAATAAAAATACGTTCTGCACAATGTGTGATTTATTTATTGTAGTCGCCGTTTATTAAACAATTACCATTTCCCCCCCCCCGCTATGTTCATTCGTACCAGGAACGTAACCCCATTTCTCCCATTGGAGTGAGGTTTCTAATGCTCGCGAATTCTGCATTCACAAGCATTAGAGGGTTTACCGTACAGTCTGGTAGAGAGAGTTTACCGTACAGTCTGGTAGAGAGAGTTTACCGTACAGTCTGGTAGAGAGAGTTTACCGTACTGTCTGGATAGAGAGGGTTTACCGTACTGTCTGGGTAGAGAGTGTTTACCGTACTGTCTGGGTAGAGAGTGTTTACCGTACAGTCTGGTAGAGAGAGTTTACCGTACAGTCTGGTAGAGAAAGTTTACCGTACAGTCTTGTAGAGAGAGTTTACCGTACTGTCTGGATAGAGAGGGTTTACCGTACTGTCTCGGTAGAGAGTGTTTACCGTACTGTCTGGTAGAGAGGGTTTACCGTACTGTCTGGTAGAGAGAGTTTACCGTACTGTTTGGGTAGAGGAGGTTTACCATACTGTCTGATTAGAGACGTGGGTTTCGCGTTAAATTTGACCCCCTGCCCTCTCCCTGCACCGACCCGGCCCCCAGCTTGGCGCGCCACTGCCCGGCCGCGCTGGCGGGGGGCTCGGCGCCGGCTCGCCGGTTCCCGGTGCCCCCGTGCCGCTCCCGGCTGACGCGACATGTGACCCCCACCCCCCTCCCCCCCCGTGCCCCCACCCAGGTGTGCCTGCGCTTCTACGAGCACGAGTTCATGGAGCTGGCGTGCCAGTGCCCCGCCGTGGTTTGCTGCCGCTGCTCGCCCACGCAGAAGGCGGAGATCGTGCGGCTGCTGAAGACGCACACGGGCAAGCGCACGTGCGCCATCGGTGAGGTCCCCGCGGGGGGGGCGGGGGGTGGGGGGCAGCGAGAGAGGGGACAAGTGCAGGGACAACATGGGACACAGTAACCACCAACTCACTAATCACTAACACACTAATACCACCCACTGCCACGCTCATAACAACCACCGTCGCACTAATAATAGATCATCGCTAGCACGTGTGCCCTGTAATTGGCGTCAGTCTGTTTTCACCGGGAGTCACGGGGTCGTGCTGGAGCTGCTGGTGTCTGTGCGCTGTACCCCCACACCCCGCAGGCGATGGGGGCAATGACGTGAGCATGATCCAGGCCGCAGACTGCGGCATTGGCATCGTGGGCAAGGTACGGCGCCCCCCCTCCCCCCTCCCCGCGACACGCGCCCCTCACGGCCCCATACTGTGACAGCGTTAAGTAATCGTGGCGGCGGCGGCGATGATGATTGTGGTGCACGGTGGTGATGCTGACGATCGGGATTTCCGCGGCGATGATGGACGGCCGTAGTGTTATTGACGAGGATGGCGACGGTGCACGAATGGCGATGCAGGAAGGCAAGCAGGCGTCGCTGGCCGCCGACTTCTCGGTGACTCAGTTCAAGCACATCGGCCGCCTGCTCATGGTGCACGGACGCAACAGCTACAAGCGCTCGGCGGCGCTCAGCCAGTTCGTGATCCACCGCGGGCTCATCATCTCCACCATGCAGGTGAGCGCCGCGGTCGTGGGCACGGAGACCACGGCGACAAAGACCGTCGTCACTGTGACGACGGTCACGGAGATGACGGTCACGGCAACGACGGTGACGACCGTCGCGAAGGTCACGGTGACGGCGGTGACGGAGGTCACGGTGACGGCGGTGACGGAGGTCACGGTGACGGCGGTGACTGAGGTCACGGTGACGGCGGTGACGGAGTTGACGGTGACGACGGTGACGATGGTCACGGTGACGATGGTCACGGCACACCCGTGCGGCCGTGCCGCTCCACGCCGCCGCCGCCATGCGGTCGTCTCGGTTGAGATGAACTCCTGTGCTCAGGGTCACTCGGTCGCTCTCACGCAGTGGACCTCGTGGTGTTCAAAGGCTCTCAGCGGCATATTGTTAAAAAAAAAAAGAAACATCCCTGGCGTCAAATGTAATCCGTTATTCTTTATCCTATACGGACGCAAAGGATTGCGATTTATAAACTTCTTCCATCGGCGGATCATCACGTCGTGCCAGGAGACGGACTCGGACGGCGAGGGCACGGGGTTGGAGTCCGTGTGCGGCACGTGCTCGTGCTGTGTCCAGAGCAGTGTTCTGTGTCGCTCACGTAATCCACTTGCAAATTAAATCCTGCAGGTGAATTTAGTTAATCATGGTCGTTTGCCCAGTATTTCGTCACAAGGCTGAGATTGCCCCATTTGCTCCGCTTGAGAACCAAACGTGTCATTATTATGGGTGGGTGGGTGGGTGGCTACCTGGATCCAAAGCTAGCCCTCACCGTTGCTGGCCGAGAGCGCCAACATCAAGTATCGAGATCTCCGAATGAACCAGGTGCATTCATACCTGGACAAAACGAACATGACACACGCGCACAGTAAACCAGACATAACAGATAAACAATATACTTGACCATTTTTTTAATATATATAATATAAACAATTAAAAGTGTTTACTCGGCAACACTAACAAGACGATCTGCTATTCTTCGACTAAGCAATTGGGAGCGTGACATTCAGAGCCACCGCGACGCTCAGGCTGTACGGGGCAGAGGCGGCTGGATTTGGCGGTGTGCGGATCTCCGCTCGATGAGCCCAGTGTCCATGTGCAGCAGGCAGGCACCACATCCGGCGCCCCGGGCGGGATTTTATCGCCGTTCGATGAAGGTTGTTGTCGCCTGGCACTTTGCTTCTCATAGCCGCTGCCGCTTCCACTGGGGGGGGGGGGCCCGCGCGTCAGCTCCCAACTCCGAATGATTTATGATCAAATAATTAAACGGTGCCGAGGGCGTTCGCGAGAGGGGCTCGCTCAGTAAGCGCGCCCCGCGCGGCGACTTGCGCTCGCCCGCAGTGCCAGCGTGGGGCGGAGGCGGAGGGGGGAGCGCGATGGCGCGGTGGGGCGGCGGCGAAGCTGGTCATCGGGCATCACTACCGCTCTCTGAGATAGAACGGGGTGAGGTCAAGTGAAAGGTCTGGTGAAATGGCAGCTTCATATGACGGTGGGGGTCGTAAGGCCAGATGCCCTGCCGGGTTCAAGCGAGCTCATTGGGCTGAGGCAAAAGGGGAGGGCACCGGATGGGAGCCTCGGGCTCAAAGCCCGAGTCGGTTCTGGGTTCACGATTACAAATATTATCCGACATTGGTTTAAACTGTTCAATTAAATAATGAGTAGCTTTCAAAAAAACCTCGAAGCAGCCCACTAGAGTTGCGGTGTTTAGAATGGGCCCGCGCACAACGTTCAGGAACTGCTTTCTGTGTTTAGTTTGTGGTCCTTCTCCTGCACCTTCGTTTAGCAGCACAATTCGCTTCGTATGGTGCGAAGGTAGTTCAACATACATACTTACTCACGTACAAATGGCCCTACAAGCGGGAGGGAATGTCTCGCCATATTGTTCCGCTTCATCACGTCGAGGGTACCAACGGGGGCGCCAACGCGAGCGCCAACAGGGGCACCAAAGGGGATGCCAACGGGGGCGCGGCTAGAGATCTGACCCACCAGCTGCCACTGCGTCCGCTCTCGACCCCACACCCTCCAGTAGACAATGAACTCTTCAGGCGTTTGCCACGCCCTCCCCCTGCGTCTCTTCCTCCTGTAGCCATTCAGCTTCCGTGACCCCCGCACCAATGGTCCTTTGACCCCCCACCGCCCCCCCAATTGGGAACCCCAGACTCGTAGAGTACTGCCTCTTGCTACTCACGAGGGATACGTTCCGGAGAGATTTACTCGTGAATAGCACATTCCGCAGATAATGATATTGCCCTACGAAAATCTTTTTTATTAATTAATTACCTTAAATAAGTGAATACATCAATCAGCTTTATCTCTAATCACTTTAGCTCTCATCACTTTATCTTTCATCACTTTCTCTCTAATCACTTAATTTTTCTCTCTCTCGATGCAGTCGTGTAGAGTTCGAGATGCGATTCGCGGACAGCCAAAATCGCACGTTCGTGAATAACGAGGGAACACTGAACACGCGGACTTACCCTGTGGTTAGAGCACTCGCCCCACACTCAGAACATCTCCAGTTCAAATCCCAGCCAGGGTCGGCTGCTCTCATCCCTCCGGGGGGCGATAAACACAGTGCCACTCGCCGAGGAATCTGCAGGGATGAACTGCCCACCGCCATGGTAATGTGTAATTGCTGCCACTGGTTCAAGGATCACCAATGTCCATTGGAGCATAGCGACACTGTGAAAATGTTCGACGTGCGATCATCATGTTGTATGTACGTCGAACTTCTTTTGTGCCGTACGTAGCCAACCGCGCTAACCGGAGGTGTGCGTGTTGACCGCCGGGGCGGTGGCTTGGCCCAGCGGCAGCGCGTTGGCCGCTCGTTGCCGAGGTTCTGCTTTGCGAGGGACGCTCGAGAGCCCGTGGCGTCGTTCGCAACGAGCGGCGCAACTCACATGTGTGCCGGCGTCGCGGTCCGAACTTTGCGGAAATGTGAAAAATGACACCGCAAATTACTCCATCGACATGACACGCAGAGCAGCAATCATCGCCCCCTATTGGCAGACTAGCGCCCGCACGTCGGCCAGGTGTGGAGTCACCTTCTGTCAGCAAAGGGAGAGCTGCCACTGAGGAGGTGCCCTATCAAATGTGTTGATGAGATGCGATGCACATTGTTTGTCCCGTCCTGCACCTCCGATTAGCACGGTTGCCTATGGACAGTGCAAAAGAAGTGTAACATACACACGTACATAAAGCGCTCTGACGTGAAGGGAGGTCCGCTCTTATCTAAAACAAATTATTATCGAAGTCTCGCCGTCTCTCGGCCAGCCGTGCGTGCTGCTCTTGTGCTGACGCGGCGGCGTGTGCCGCTGCTGCTGCTGCCGCTGCTGCTGTGTCGTGCTGTCCCCCAGGCCGTGTTCTCCTCGGTGTTTTACTTCGCGTCGGTCGCTCTCTACCAGGGCTTCCTCATGGTCGGGTGAGTCCCCCCCCCCCCCCACTCAGCCCCACGCCCCGGTCAAGTCACCGGGCCAACCTCGCACGGCGACGACCGATGGCTTCGTTTTCCCGGTGCGGTTCTCTACGCGTAGTAAAGCGTTCGTCTTAGAATCTAGAACATGGTGTCAGAAGTGGGGCAGGCCCAAAATAATGCGACTTGTTTGAAGATTTGAAAAGAGTGAGTAGAGTGGGCTGCAGAATTGTGAATTTACGCGAGGGATTATCTAAAGGCTTGGCGGTTGGGAGCACAGAATCTTTGAGCATCATGGCGGCTGCCAATGGTATCCCAGCTGCTGAAGGTGTGAAGATGAGTGGCGATCGGAGCAACAATTGGGAATCCTTGAGGGCTGATTGAGAAAACTACTCAATAGCAACAGGCCTCAATGAGAAGCCCGCAGAGGTCCAAGCAGCCACACTGAGGAAGGCGATGGGCAGTGAGTGTGATCTCGGACACGAGTCTGCTGTCGTTACTCACTGATTCTAGAACAATTGTATTGTTATTTTACTCTCAGCTGATTGGGCGGAGGTGGGGGAGGGACGGGGGGGAGGGGCGCGTTTGGCAGGAGTTGATGGCGGCTTCGTTGAATGAACTTTGTGAGGAGGCCGAGCCAGTTTGCTCTGCCTGCGGAGGCCGAGTGGCCGTCACGTGGTCGGGGCTCCGCTGCACTCGAGAGCCCCGAGAGGCGTGAAACTCCTGCGGCTGACGTGACCTCGCCAGACTGGTGGTGCCTGGACAGGAGTGAAGCCAGTTAAGCATTTGCTGTGGTTCCTTTACTGCCCCACAAAGAATGCCCTGCAAACTACTCAATCGCGATTACTCATGGCAACATAGCCTCCCCCCACCGCGAATAGCTTGGTAGGACCCTCCTGAAAACGAGTCTCGAGATTCACTGAGGTTTTTCTGGGGAAACTAAGCAGAATGATTGTTATGTAGACTAGCCGTAGTCTCAAGCCGCACCAACCTTACTATAATAATTAAAAGGGGGCCTGTCCTGGCTCATCCCCCCCCCCCCCCCCCTCAACCAGTATATATATACGGGGTAGTATCTCTTGGAATCTCTCATTTACTTGATACAGCAAGCGTGCTGTGACGGTTCCACCTGAAGACGGACGCTTGTGTTGCCTCCGAAACGTCGTAATTTTTATTTAATTTTTATTTTATTTTACTTTTATTCATTTTTATTTTTTTACCTACGTGACTTTACCGAAAAAACCTAAGAATAAGAATGATAATAATAATGATATAACAATAATGATATAACAATAATGTTATAACAATAACGATATAACAACAACGTGAGCGGAACCCGCGTGGCCCGGCTCGGTGGTGACGGTGGTGGCCTTGTGTCGCCGCGTGGTGTCGCCGCAGCTACGCCACGGTCTACACCATGTTCCCCGTCTTCTCGCTCGTGCTGGACCAGGACGTGAAGCCCGAGACGGCGCTGCTCTACCCGGAGCTCTACAAGGACCTCACTAAGGTGCGCGGGCTGCCGATTGTGGGCGCCACGGTGGTGAGATGTTAGTGAGATGTTAGCTGGTATACAGGAGGTCGTGGGTCGGCATCGGGATCGAACCTCACGACCTCCTGTATACCAAGCGAGAAAATCTCGCCACAGAGGCAACATTGCCTCTTAAATTTAGTTTCTAAAATTTTAGTTTCTAAAATTAAGAAGCAATGTTGCTGGCCACGTGGAATTCCGAGCGGTCGTTGGGGAGGAGGAGAGACTGCCATTCACGGTGGTGAGATACGACCTCCCTCGCCTGTTCTACAGGAGGTCGTGGGTTTGATCCCAACCCTGACGATGCCTGCTGTATATTTGGAGTTTGCGTGTCTCTCTCATCATCATCACGGTGGCTAGGAGATGTTAACTTTCTCGCCTGGTCTACAGGAAGTCGTGGGTTCGATCCCGACCTCGACGCCTGTTGTGTATTTGGAGTTTGCGTGTCTCTCTCATCATCATCACGGTGGCTAGGAGATGTTAACTCCCTCGCCTAGTCTACAGGAAGTCGTGGGTTCGATCCTGACCTCGACGTCTGCTGTGTATTTGGAGTTTGCGTGTCTCTCTCCCCCTGGTCGCATGGACTTCTCTCCAGATCCTCCGCTTCTTTTCCTCGCCAGATTTAGAATCAACGGGCGTTTAGAGTATTTGGCTGCTACAAATGTACACGTGATAAGCCACTTTGTTGAGCTATCATTTGTGGCCAGGTCACTTCTGAAAAAGAGCTGTATAGCTCAGTGCGTCTTACCTGGATAAATAAATAATTGTTTATTGTTAACCTTCATTCGTGAAAAACAATCCAGTACTCACCATCGGGGAAGTGTTTTTTACCATGAGTGAATTTCATCAGCCGATGACTGAGCGGCTAGATGGCGATTACGGCTGCTGCCTCCTAGAGGCCGGAGCGCGACTCGCGACGAGTCCGAGTGGCACGTGCACCGTGGTCGCGTCGTCACGGTTACTCGCGAGGAGTCCGAGTGGACAGGCACCGTGGTCGTGTCGTCACGGTTACTCGCGACGAGTCCGAGTGGACACGCACCGTGGTCGCGTCGTCACGGTTACTCGCGACGAGTCCGAGTGGCACGTGCACCGTGGTCGCGTCGTCACGGTTACTCGCGACGAGTCCGAGTGGCCATGCACCGTGGTCGTGTCGTCATGGTTACGACGAGTCCGAGTGGACGTGCACCGTGGTCGCGTCGTCACGGTTACTCGCGACGAGTCCGAGTGGACACGCACCGTGGTCGTGTCGTCATGGTTACGACGAGTCCGAGTGGACACGCACCGTGGTCGTGTCGTCACGGTTACTCGCGACGAGTCCGAGTGGACACGCACCGTGGTCGCGTCGTCACGGTTACTCGCGACGAGTCCGAGTGGACACGCACCGTGGTCGTGTCGTCACGGTTACTCGCGACGAGTCCGAGTGGACACGCACCGTGGTCGTGTCGTCACGGTTACTCGCGACGAGTCCGAGTGGACACGCACCGTGGTCGCGTCGTCACGGTTACTCGTGACGAGTCCGAGTGGACACGCGCCGTGGTCGTGTCGTCACGGTTACTCGCGACGAGTCCGAGTGGACACGCGCCGTGGTCGTGTCGTCACGGTTACTCGCGACTGCAGTGCACCGAGGAGGACGGCCTAACGTGGCAATTAGCCGCACGTACAGGAATGCATGTGTACCTACATATATATGTTTACAAATATAGATGTTTACCGAGTTGACTGATTGGCTGAGCTGACGATATTGGAGGGTGGGGTGGTAATGCGCCTCTGTTCAGCATTGTTGGCTACATACGGTGCGAAAGAAGTTCAACATACGTACGGAATTGTGCGTCGCTGGCCATTCGAAAGGGGGTAGGCCATTGTGTGCCGGCGTGATGGTCCAAAGGACCCCCGAAATACTCAATTTGGATTGCACACAGCAGCAGTGCTCCCTACTGGCAGACTATTCGTCTGTGAAACAAAACGCATTTGTGATAGCCCTGTACTTGTGATTGCAAATTCAGCCGTAGCTTCACCCAGAGAGTGGATGTTTACCCCCACACAGAAATGCACAAGTGTTAGCATGAGCACTAGGCCGACTCAGCCTTAAATGAGTACCTGGTGCAGTGGGTAAACACTGGGGAGACAAAGGCGGCTGGGCGTGGTGCTGGCCACCCCACCCCCTCGTGTGCCGTGTCGGCCTTCATAGGTGCTGCTCGTTAACAGCACTTGCTCCAACAGTCTGTTAATAGGCTATACAGGGGATCTTTGTCTTCGTTTCTAGTATGTGTGTATGCTTGTGAATGCGAACCAGTTGGTATGTGTGTGCGCGTGTAAATGTGTGTGTGTGTGGCGAGTGGCTGAATGTTCAGTGAGGCGTCTGTCGCGTTTAATATGGGCAGCAGCTTCAGCTTACCGTGATGTAGAATGCTTACTTAAATGAATGATTAAATGAGCCGGGCGCAAAGCACACAATGAATTATAGATCGGTATCTCACGAGCTCCGTTACAGGGTATTGGGTTTTGACTGCACTCAATCGTGCGGTGCCGAGTGGCTGGCTGATTACGTTGTACGATCAGCGTCGCGTATGTAAATCCAGCCGTGCATCAAAGCGCCGCGATCATCTCGTTACCATCGCTCGGCGCCACATCTGCACGGAGTATTTCGCCGATTGGATTGGAGTGATTTTTCTGTTTTGAATGCCGCTCCGCTCCCGATGCGATTCCTATTTTGACTCTTTGTGTTTTGCAGGGTCGGGCCCTCTCGTTCAAAACCTTCTTCATCTGGGTGCTCATCAGCATTTACCAGGGTAAGCCGGCGCGAACGTTTCCCGACAGCCTCGGGCGGCAGGGTGGCAGTGGCGGTGGTAACACTGGTGCCTTGCAGCAAGAAGCGCCTGGGTTCGGTTCCTGACTCGGGCGCCTTCCTGTGTGGAGTTTGTACGTTCTGCTTATGCTCTACAAAGTATGAGTGTGTGCATGTCGCGCGAGTGAATAGAATGTGTGTGTTCTCCCTCCCGTTCCGCGTGCGTTTCCTTTGGTTTCTCTGCTTTCCCCCCCATTGCGAAAACAAAACCCAATGTAACCGATATTGGCCAAACGTCCCAGTGCTGTAAAATTACACAACAAATCACTCAATTGGCATCACACAGCAGCAGCCGTAGCAACCGCCCCTCTACTCCGAAAACTTTGCGTGACCCACCTTAAAATCAAGTCTTGGGACTCTCTTCAGCGGTAAACAAACATAAGAATATAAAATAACGAGTCTCTTCGGAACAAAACTATAAACTACCTCGAACGGGGGCGATGGGTCGCTCGCGCCAGGAAACGTCGCGTGCCGAGTTGGGACGCTCACTCAGGATCAACGGCTTCGATTCACGGGCAACGGACGCGACCTGATAACCCGCGCAGGAAATCACGGTCTTCAATCATCGTCCATCAACCGCCCTCGTCGTCGTTCAGAGCGGACGTCAAAACCCGCGCCACGCCGCCGCTGTCTCGAGCGTGGGGCATTGTTGTGCCGTTACTGCGGCGCAGTCGCCAATGCTCAACGATCACCCGCGTAGGTTTCTGTAAGCAACATCTTTCCCGTGTGACGACGACGTGATGTCGCGCACGAGTCGTGGGCTTCGAAGGTTCGATTTTAATTGACGAATCTTTGTTTGAATTGCTGTTAACCCCCACGGGGAGTTTCCCCAGCACTTCGTAGGCTCGTTCCCAGTGGGGTTCCAGGGCTGCGGTACTGCAGAAAGTGCCGCCGCTACTGCCGCCGTTGCTGCTGCTACTGCTGCTACTGCTGCTGTGCACACGTCCTGCGTGACAGCTGCATGTGGAGCCCTGATTTTACCCAACTCCCAAATCAGTCACTCCCACTCCACTCCGCCACTGGGCCGATCACCCGCACTCCGCTGCTCCTCGCCACTCGCGCCATCCTCCTCCCTTGGCCCCTTGCGTGGCGTCGTGGCGCCCTCCTCTGGTCGGCCTCCGTGGCCGCAGGAGACGGGGAGGTGGCACACCGGCAAAGCGACCGTGCCGCGGCGCTAGCGCAGGTCCGTGTGTGTCAGAATCAGAGTGAGAATTTGTCGTCATTCTGTGGGAATCCGATGAGCTACGAAGCTCTGTTTCACAGATGCCCAGTAGGGGCGCGGTGTTAAAAACGTTTCAACAACAATTAATACAAAAACACAACAGTAGTGCAAAGTGCAAGAAAGGTAAACAAACCATACAAGACACTTACATAATACAACTAAACCATCCCCATCCTACCAGGCAAAGCCCACGGAGGTATTAACTTATTTTTCAGAAGCGACTTGCGCACGCAAATGTTAGCTCCGGTGTCACTCTGCAATGCGCCGACCCATGGCTTAGAATCTAAATAATCTTGACGTAATTCCCGGGCGTAAACGTGCGTGGGTAAGCATTTAAGCCTCGTTTTTTAGCCGCCGGCGTGCGTGCTCCTCGGGCGTGCCAATTGCGCTGCTGGCGAGATTCTTGGCCCCTCGTGGCGGCGATGCTAAGAACCCCCCCCCCAGTCGCTCGCCGTGTTTGGAGACACGACCGGCGTTCAGCGGGGTTAACCCGGGCGCTCGGAGCTCTGCTCGAAGCGATGGGAGTTGATAAAAGCAGAATACAAGACCATCGTGGAGCAGTGGCTGCTGGGGGGAGGGAGGGAGCAGTCTTTGTTCTCCGGCTCTTATCTCCAAGAAGCAGAATTTCACGTGCGTGTGTACATATATCTCTCCTTTATGTCCTTCACAGCCTTATAACATCTCCATATTTGTATCTATCCTAGCTCACCTCTCCGTCCCCCCCCCGTATCATTTTCTTGCTGTATCTCTTCTGCGCTCCTTGGCCCTCAATCACAAAATCAATAACTGGGAGGACGTGGGGCGGAAGGGATGGGCAGGGGGTCCAGAGCGGTTGTGCTCCATCTGCTGATAAGACGATTAATCTTTCCCGACCCTCTGCGCCTGCCAAGATTAACCCAGCTGCTGCTGCTTGCTTGTTGCTTCTGCTTGCTGCTGCTGCTGCTGCCGGAGAGAAGCTTCGGAGCCAGACGCACGGCGTCAAGTCAACGCCGTAGCACTATGCGATGGGCAGCCTCGGACCCGAGTTGTTTTTCTGCATTTATGGCAAATCCCCAAGGGTTCGTTCGGCGCAAACCAACGCTCACGCGTTGGCGATTCACATCGCCGGCTGCGGTTCGCGCTACGTTCGCTGAACGTGACAATTCAGCACGTGGTTGCGGTTGTCGACGCGACAATTCCCTCTTCGAGTCATCGTCGCCCGCGCGCGATTGTCGGCTGGGGATGGAGCGACGGTTAACTCGGCTCCGATTGGTCGTCGTTCTTGTTTGTTGCGTGGCTCTGCCGCGGGTCGGAGCGCTCGTGGTCAAACGGGGGGATCGTCCGTGGCGGTGGAACGCCGCTGCCCTGGACGAGAAAGGGTTAAGCAAGGCAGGTGCTCGTGGGATTTTATAACTGTGTGTGTGCGCGCGTGGACAGTAAAGGATGGCTCGCACGGACAGAGCCCGCCGGCCACACACAATGAGCCCGGCGGCACCGCGCGCGCCTTCTCGCTAAACGCGACCCCCCCCCCCCTCCCTCCCAACGTTTCCCGTGCTCGGCTCGTGAATCCCCTTTTTTGTGCTCGTGTCAAAAAAAATAAAAAATCCGACACAAAAGGGCTTAATACTTTTGCTCAAATGAATTTTTAAAATATATATTCCTTAACCTCCTTTTTGACTGCCGCATCGCGACACTGCGGTGGTCGTGCTGCGGAATACGAGAGCGAGGCCGTACGTGCGTGTGTGTGCGTGTGCGTGCGTGTGTGCGTGCGTGCGTGTGTGTGCGTGTGCGTGTGTGTGCGTGTGCGTGCGTGTGTGCGTGCGTGCGTGCGTGCGTGTGTGCGTGCGTGCGCGCGCGCGCGTGCGTGCGTGCGTGTGTGCGTGTGTGCGTGCGTGCGTGTGTGTGTGCGTGTGTGCGTGCGTGCGTGTCCATCAGGGAACACTTAATTACTGCGATGCACTCGATCGTTTTTCCAGCTTCTCTCATTTCACACCCGACGAACGCGACAGAGTTTGAGCTGAAGCTGCATCATTGATGCTAAAGGCCGTAACTAAAGCCGGGCACACAAACAACACACCTTCAGTTGAGCGCTCGTGGCCTTACGTAATCAAACTTAACGTGGATTTGGGCAAATCTCCCAATGCAAGACGCACCTCAAAAATTGTCTTGAGGGTCGCCCGTGTCTTTCTTCGAAAAAACACCATTATTGTTATTTTTATTTCGAGCCTGATAGGGAAAGCGCTGGATGCGTTTATACACAGCAATGAGACTCAAGGGTTCTTGATTGTGCGCGTGTTATGGCATTAAGCCCAGTAACCCTTGGGATCCTCGGTTCAAAATCTTAGGGCAGGGTAAAATCAAATTCGCGTCGGATGATTTGGTTCAGCACTTAATTCGGCCAGGCCCAGCCGCGCGGCCTTGCTCATCAAGCCAGCCGCAGGCAGTGTGACCCCCTTGCGTGTCTGCACGGCTGAGGAGGGCGCAGTCTCTGCTGGACATCTGTGAAAAAAAGATTTGTAGCTCATCGGATTCCTCCATTATCAATAAATATTCTGATTCCCGTGGACCATTTGACAAGAACACGTAGGCCCCTGTCTTGCCACGTCGGGTCGGGGAACGAAAGAGGCTCTGTCCTGCCCCTGACCCCCATGGCACGGTGGGTGGGGGTTCGGATTGCTGGGCTCGGAGCGCGTGCCGAGACCACCGGGCGCTGACCGTTCGCTCGGGGGTGGCGCAGGGACACGGCGTGGCGTGGCACGTGGTTAACGCGCCGTGGAAACGAGGCAGTGGAGGGGACTATGGGGGTGGTTTCCCCCTGCCTTGAGACCGCACAAATGTGTACGTTGTTGATATTCACCAGATGAAGTAAGCTGAATGTATATCTTGTTGTTGCTTCAGGGTCTCGTTAAAAAAATCTTCAAATTCCAGGACCACCCCTTACCGTGGGAAGTTCCTAGATCTGCCTCCGTGTTGGTAGGAGTGGAGGACTGTGTGGACAGCCAGCCGCGATTGTTCATTCCGTACTCACACAGAGCGAACGCACTGCCGTTCACGTGCGGCTGACGGTTGTTTGTTGGTTGTGTGCGTGCGTTTAGCGGTGAACGACGCGAGCGAGTGGTCGCCGCGTGCCTCACCGAGCGTGCTCTGTGATGTTGTTCCGGCTCCGGCGCCAGGTGGCATCATCATGTACGGGGCGCTGCTGCTGTTCGAGGCCGAGTTTGTGCACGTCGTGGCCATCACCTTCACGTCGCTCATCCTCACCGAGCTGCTCATGGTGGCGCTGACCGTGCGCACCTGGCACTGGCTCATGGTGCTTGCCGAGTTCCTCAGCCTCGGCCTCTACGTCGCCTCGCTGCTCTTCCTCAACGAGTACTTCGGTGAGCGTGCGTGCGTGCGAGCGTGCGTGCGACGCGCCGTGCAAGCCGTCGGCCCCGACGAGCGTTGGGATCTCGAGCTCGCTGCGTCGTGCGGCCTCGGCCCTCTCGTCTCTCTGTCGCCGCCTTTGCCTCTCCTGCCGGCCCTGCTGTGCTCGGTGCCCCGACGAAGCCTCTTGCTGCATTGTCGCCCCCCTCCACCCACTCCCGCGCCGGCCTACCCACGGCAATTGTAGCCACCTACCTCGGAGCGCCCGCCAGACTCGCCATTGGTCGTCTCCCCCGGCAAACTCTTGTTTCGTTGCCAAACCCTGCCACGCCGATCTGCTACCCCTCGTCCTTCACATCCCCTACAGCTGACTTCTGAAACTCATTACTCACCTGTATGCCCACCTGTTTACTGTTAACAGATGTTTTACTGTAATATCGACAGCTTACCGCCCATTTGCATTGTCGCCAGTGATTAGCTTCGCAATAGCTCTGGACCTTTCGTCAGCAACCTTCGGTTAGAGGAAAGGCACGGACCGCGCAAGGCTCGGAGTAAAAAAGGGGCCTGGGCAGCAGAAATCTCTCCCCGAGCTAGCTGGTGAAGAACCCTCAAACATCGGTGGGGGGTGGGGAGGGGAGCAGGCGTGGAGAGGAGGGGCTGATGCCACAAAGTCTCTTTTACGTGTCGCGCACGGGGACAGACACGGCCGTGTTGGGGTGGCCCCAGGGTTGGGCCCGGGCCGGCAAGGAAAGCTTTTGAGGTACTGCATTTTGAAGTGGATGTGGGCATGTGGCGTGAGTGGATGAAGTTGAGGGGTGTAAGTGGTCCTTGCTTGCCGTGCTTAACTCTGCAGTCTTGTAGCGACAGCTGCTGGCAGTCTTTGGAACTGCATGCGCTGCCCATGTGCCCATGGCTCGGCAGCATCCGTCCCATCCTTGTCACAGTCTTCTTGCACTTGCAGCCGGCATCGCACAGAGGAGGCAGATTGATCGGTCGGTTATCGTGCCTTGTTTAATCAGGTTGGAGCCCGGCGGAGAGTTTGTCATCGCGTCTCGAGCGTTTGCATCGGCGGCACGAGTTTCCAACGACGCGCGCAGAGCACACGGCACCTGCGCATTGTGCAAAAGCCGGCCCCTGAACAAGTGCATTGTGCTCCTCTTGTCGCACGTCACCATCGACATGAATTTGAGCAAATGTGGTGCTCATCACGACCACATCACGACACTGCGCCAGCACAGCTGAGAGGCCTGAGTTGATGAACCCCCTTTGTGCCAACCTGAGACAGCACTTCTAATTGGCAGTGGGCTTCATGTTCGAAGCCTGGTCGCCATTGGCCGCTCTCGTTACATTTGCATTTGAAATGATGTTGGTGGCCCCCTTCGGCATGATGGGAACTACCCACAATGCCCTTCAGGCCTCAGATGAGTTTATTAAGCATATGCACAGTGACCTGGTGTATCCCATTGTGGAAGTGTGGCTGTTTTTTTTCTACTGGACATCTGTGAAAAAGAGCTTGATAGCTCGTCGGATTCCTCCAGCACGAACAAAGATTCTGATTCTGTTTTCCTTCCAGTCAATCTGCATTGGTACTGCGCATCGCTTCACCCACTGCTGGATTGAAAACGGCTGCACTATCAGCTGGTTCAGCCGATGGTTTAAAAATGTACCGATGGCATAAAAGGATGTACCCAAGCATGATGACGTAACGTTAATTAGCTAAGAACGACCTTACGGTTGAGTACACTGACAAACACCCTGACCCTAATACACCACGGAGACATCAAACGCTCCAGTCTGCATCAGGGAGCTAATCCTGCTCTGAGCTGTTTGTGCTGAATTGTCCGCCACGTTTCCTACACGTACACGGCACACGCGTACAGCCCTCTTGCCATCCCACTGCTGGATGAGGGCCGGACAATCCCGGACCTCCGATTAGCGCGGTTGGCTACGTACGTACGGCCCACGCCGTGCAGGTCGTGGGGTGCCATTTGACCGTACCTCACCACGCTGGTCAGCGTGGCTTGGCAAAGGTTTGTCTCGTGCTCGCGAGCGTCGTGTCGCCATGCATGCGTGGTGACCGTGCGGTCAGACGCCGCTCGCTTCAGGGATGAAACCGCGTCTCATCTCATTTGGATGCCGTTGCCTCTTTTGCGAATGGAGCGAGAGAGACATTGTCCCCTCGAGTTACTCGCAGGTTGATTCAATTGTTGCTACACGAGAGCCTCGCCATGCCGTGCGGGTCGTGGGGGTTGTTTTGACCATAATTCACCACGCTGGTGAATAGAGAGTTGGCGATAAATAAATATCTAAATATAAATGAATAAATATCTACATCTTTGAAGTAGGGTTGAAGGGGGGGAGGCCAGGATCACTTCATAAATCGCTCGCCACTGATTTGAGCTCCGGCCAGGAATCCAACTCGGGCCGCTGGGGTTGGTGATGCCCCAAACGCTGCGCCACCTCTCCCCCCCCCTCTCCTCCCCCGCCGTGGATACATTTTTACGTCGGCAAATTTGGGTTGCGGCGATATCCACGACGGTTTTAGTCTTGCAAACGATGACAACCGCGGCGTGTCTTCAACATCCGCCGCCAGTAGGTGGCGCGGCGTGCCCGCACGGGCGGCATCTCTCTCTCTCTCCTCCTCGCCGTTTCCGCGGTGGCCGCGGTGGGCGGCCGTGGGCGGCTGCCCAGTGCCAGACGCACGAATCCCTGATTTGTACGCGGGGATTTGGGATTTTGAGCAGGTTTATGTTTTGTCAGGTGCAGTGGGTTCTGTAGTCTCGGCAAGGTGACCAGTGCCGGCTAAATAACCACACCAAAACATTCGTGTGAGGCGTTGCTTGCACACTGAACGGATCCAAGCCCAGCTCCAAAGGCTCCACTGGACAGAAGGGCACCGAGCACGGCAAAGCTGCACGAGCGTGCAGCTCGTGGTGGCCGCGTACGGAGGACCTTTGAGGGATATGACGAGCAGCCCCTTTGATGTCCCTTGCGTGTCTTCCCACAGTGCGTCGTGTGGCTCTGCTGTCTGCGGTGGAATCCAGAATGAACGTTGACACGGCTCGTTCCGCCACTGAACGTTGGCAGCACAATTTCGGTCGATCTGGAGAAAGCGCTCAAAGTAAACCGACGGCGCCACCCGCGTACGCGGCAGGTCAAAGCCCTTCCCGGCACAACCCCCCCGCGTTGCCGCCGTGCCTCCGCCGTGTCCAAATCGACGAGCCCGACGACACAGAGCCCATCGCGCCGCCCTCCCCGTTCCTGCGTGCGACCCCGCGACCCTGCCCCACCTCGCCTCTAACCTCGCCGCCGTGCCTCTAACCTCGCCGCCGTGTCTCTAACCTCTCCCTGTCTCTTGTGTGGACGCCTGTGTCGCTCCTCCGCCCCTCCCTTCCTCCCCGTGTGCCTCTTGTCTCCCCCGCCTGCCCGCGCAGGGATAGGCAGGATCTCCATGGGCACCTTCATAGGTGAGGCCTCCCCCGTGCATGCGGCGCGCGCCCCTCGCCCCGGGGGTTTACCCGCGGTGTTCATAGCGACGGGACGGCCGCGCAGCCGCGCCGAGCGCTGTGCTGAGCGCTGTGGCAACACAGATGGCGGGGGGGGGGAGAAGGACGGGGGGGGGGGTGGGGGACATACCTTTTTTCCATCTGCGAATCCACGCTGGCCCAGCACGGGTCAGGAGGCACGAGTTTATTTTCCGCTGCGCGAGCGGCGCCGGTAGACGACGCGATGGCGTCGTGCCTTTGTGGTGCGTAGCGACGTCATTACCCCCGTGCCCCCAGCACGGCCCCCTTCCCCCAAGCCAGATTCACATGTCGTCTTGCATGCTCGCTCATTAATATGCCAGTGGAAAACCACCCGTGCCGTGCCGGTCCTTTGCTGGCATGGTTCGAATGTGCAAATAGAAAAGGAGTGTTTGAGAGTACGGTGGGGGAGGGGGGGCAGGCAGGTCTTGCGCTGCGCACCCTCAATAACCGTCTTGACCGCCTTGGCTAGACGACTTGGGCCACCCCACGGCTGCTCGCTGCCCAATCTCTCGAGCGAAAGGAACCTGCGGTGCTTTTGTTTGCGTGATTCGTCATTAAGTCCCGTGACTGTAAGTCAAACGAACAGCGGTGTGTGCCGACGGTCCGCCGCACACTGCTGGATGTTGGCGATCTCCTCGCAAACGGCGTGCGAAGGGCGGCCGCTCGCTCTCCGCCCGGCGTCCTTTCGGGGTCGCTCCGTGCGCCGCCGATCAGCGTCGCCCTCGCCCGTTGCGGTCCGCGCGCCCCGTGAGTTTCTTCCGAACTCTCAAACGTCGATCGGAACGCCGGACGGCAACGCGGTACGACCGGAAAGCGATGCGGCGCGGCCGCGACGATCCCACTCGGCGTGTTGTTCGCGACGGTTGGTGACAGCAGAGGGCAGCAGCACCACGTCGCTGCTGCTGCTGCGTTCGACAGCTGCGGAGGCAGTCTCGGGAGAGTGAAGGTTTCTGACAGGCTCATTCCAGAATTTGAGCTGTTTATTGTTTTTCTCCTCGTTTTACCCTGGAAAGGATCGCCGAGTATCAAGACTCCTGTTCAGGAGGGTCCAGCGGCAAAGTTGCCGTGTGCAATTGTCTATCGTGCAGGTTAATTTTTGTGAATTTGGAAGTTTGGCCAATACCAGGTACATTGTGAAAATAACCATTTACCGTCAGTGAAGGCAAAAATATGGATATATGTGTTTGGTATTAAATGATGCCATATAATCTCAAAAAGCATCTTACCACACAATACAGACAACAAAAACCGCCATTCGCCACTAAGCAGCAGTGACATCACCACAGCGCTTGTGCCAGGCTACGTGCACTTTAAGGCCACGTGAAGTGTTGAAGCTCGCTGCTGGCAGGAGGTCACGGGACAGACCCTGCAGGTGCCATGGATTGACTGACCGGGACGACTGGCAGATGCACCACCAGTGCCTCCCTACTGCGCCGACAATCCAGACAATACCGACGACACCGAGATCCCGAAGAGAGTTAAAAGACGAGGGGACAACAGGGCACGAGGCGGCTGCCTTCTCGCTGCGGCGCAGCGACGGGGCAGCGGCTGAGAGCCGCGCCGCGCCGTGGCGGCACGGCCCGGCACTCCGTGCGCGACGCGTGGCGCTGGAGAAGCTTGGGGAGCGCCGGTCCTACGCGATCCCACTTCCTGTCTCTGTGCCCGCGAGCAACGGCGGTTGCACAGATCGCGTTTGTCCGTCACGAGGGCGCCGTTCTGTTGAACGTGAAGCTGGCGGAGGAGGGTGTCCGTCCGGCCCGTGTGTGGGAGAACTTTGAGTGTGGGGTCCGTGGAGCGGCGACAAGAGAGGCCGTGACATTTAAAACGCTGGTGGAAACAAAGTCACGGGCTTGTCGAGCGTGCGCGGTGGCCGCCCGCGTAGGCAGCCGCTCGGAACAGCCTGGGCTCTCTCTCTAAATGTCACGGGCCGAATCGTGCGAGAGCCGGCCGTGTGCCGTGCGTGTTGAAGGTACACGAGGCGGCCGGGTGCCCGAGGAGGGAACGGCCTGTCAGCCTGCCAAGGGCGCCAGTCGCTCGGCCTCGTGTCTGCACACCCCAACAATTATCTCTTTTTTACTTTACTGCTGCCAAATCGTAGATTCGTCAAATTCCTGTGCAGTGGATGTGAAGCGAGCTTTTCCAGCTCTGAAGAGGTGTAAGTGTGCGAAGAGCAAAGGGAAATTTATAGCATAATCTTTGCTTGCCACTGGGATAGAAGTAGCAAGCTAGTGATGATGTGTGTGATACTGAGACACAGGTACCAGGCTAGTGATGCTACGTATGCTCCTCATTTGAGCGGCAGATCAGAGTTAATTGAAGGTAGCGTCTTTGTCGCCAGTGTTGAAGACCGACAAAACCGTAGCAGCATTTGTCGCATGATTACCTGCGGTTGTCTGTCATATTGAGCAGAGCACGCGCTGATGAAGCGAATGTCATCATCGTGATTTACAGCAGGGCAGGGGGTTAAGGAAAGAGCGCGCGTGGGTGTGTGCGCACGCGATTGCCTTGGAGCATCCTGCACGTTGCCGCGTGCATGACGTTGCCGTGTGCATGACCGTTGCCGTGTGCATGACGTTGCCGTGTGCATGACGTTGCCGTGTGCATGACGTTGCCGTGTGCATGCAATGCGCTCACCGTGCCGTGTCCTGCATGCTACCTTTGTGAATGATTCTCACGATTCTCACGATTCCATCCTTAAGAACCAAATAGGATTGCTTGGTACATGGGATCGATCGTAGGATCGATCCCAACTAGGATAGTGGCATCGCGGGGGGCCGGGTTGCATGGAGACCTGCATGGAGTGCTCAGGCAAGGCGGGAGGGGGGGGGCATTGGTGCCTCGCCGGCCCAGTGCAGTCGCCATGGAGACGCGTGACCGTTTCCAGGGTAATGCATTTGTGTGGCGATTCTGGCGGATAATGGCCAACTGGGAAATAAATAAATAACCCAGCAGATAAATACCGCGGCATCTGTAGCAGCTGCTGCCAACGGGTTTCACAAAGTCAGATGCCAGGGCAAACAACTGTGTGCAGTGCCGCGTGCGGCCTCTCTTCGCGCTGCCGCCGTGCCGAGGTGGTGACTGGCGAGCGAGCGCGACGCGCCGTCCTGGCGGCGCGTCGCGGCCTGCGAGCCTCCGTCGGCACGGCGGCAGTACCGGGCATTAGCACGCACAGCACGCACACAGCACACACACACACACACAGCACACACACACAGCACACACACACAGCACGCGCACAGCACGCACACAGCACGCACACACAGCACGCACACACAGAACACAGCACGCACAGAACACAGCACGCACACAGAGCGCGCACACAGCACGCACGCACACAGCACGCACACACAGCACGCGCACACACAGCACGCACACACAGAACACAGCACGCACACAGAGCGCGCACACAGCGCGCGCACAGCACGCACACAGCACACACCATGCGCACAGCACACGCACAGCACGCACACAGCACGCACACAGCACGCACACCACACGCACAGCACACGCACAGCACACGCACAGCACGCACACAGCACGCACACAGCAGCTCGCAGTAACAGGGCACTACTAATCTGGTTACTTGTAACACGTCACAAGTAACATGTCACAAGTGACGAGTAAGCGGATGACGTGTAACAGAGCGCATGTGATCTCATTAGTAATTCGATTACTGACTACTTGTGGCACATTGCACATAATCTTACATAATTGCCAATTACTTGTAAACTGTAAAACAAAAATATTCTTTTGTTCTTTCGGTAAAGCCATGTAGATAGAAAAATAATAACAATATAACGAAGTTTTGATCGCAATACAAGCAAACGTCATCAGGCGAAAAATATGGCGGAAGCGCTGCTAAGGCAGGGCGTTGTCAAGGTTTGAGATGGGTGTCGCCCAAGGGTCAGTGGGCGCGGCTAGAGATGGAATTTGCATGGAAATGTAAGATCAGAGAAATCTTGGCAAACGAAGCTGTGGGGGTGGCCATTGTATTGTGAGAGGTTAGCATGTCAATGTAAGAAATTTCCTTGTAAATGTAAGCTCGGAGAGAGCTCGGAAAGAGCCATCGCCACATGGAGGTGGAAAAGGATGGCAAGCCGCCATTTACTAACACAGCTAGTGGTGGCTGTGTTAGTGAATGTAATTCAAGAGAGTCGAAAATAACAGCTAACATCACAGCCAGTTATGACCTAAACTGGTTGATAACGTCCTTCCAATGATTGCTCAGTTTGTACCCATCTTCTCGGTTGAAATTGTGTCTGTCTATATATCTGGATGGCTTCATGAACAAATCTTTGCTGATAGCCAGTGGGTTTGCAGAGTACCTTCGTCTTGGAGAAATCTATTTCGTGTGAGCCCACCGCATTAAAACAATGATCAGCCACGGCTGAGGTATTGGTCCTACCGTGTTTTAGATCTGCCTTGTGTTCACGAACACGGTCTGAGACATGTCGCACAAACTAAAAACAATTTTTATTGGTTAAGCAGGTAAAGCCCACTGAACTATATAGCTCTTTTTCAGAGGCAAACTGGTCACAAATGATAGCTCAACGAAGTGGCTTACCATCAAGTTGACATTTATAGCAGCCAACTACTCTAAACGCACGTTGTTTCTGAATGTGGAGGGAACAACCGGAAGGACCCGGATGAAAAACAATATCCACGTAACCACGGGGAGAACATGCAAACTCCAAGTAATCTGATGACTGAATGGAAATCGGCTCTCGGTAATCACCATTGTTACACGGCTTTCAGTGTTCATTCAGATCAGTGTTACCCAGCATGTGCTGGTTGACTTCTTTTTAGGATAATGAAAATGTTTGCGACTTTGAAAATAATTCATAACGAATTGAAGGGCGTTATTGTGCGCTTCAGCGTGGTTTTAATGTAATTGCAGCAGCAGCCAAAGCGCGCAAATCACGACACACAGAGACTTCGATAATTCACGTTTTATTTCCCTCGGTGAATCTACGTTCATCTTATCTACGCGCTTTTGTTTTTCATAGAACGTCGCCGTGTCGGATGAGAGTAGATTACACGACCGTGATAATAAACGAGAATGCCTTCGTGTGGCGGATGCGACGTGCGTGCCATTGTTCAGTTTTGCAATCCGCGCAGTGGCCACCTGTCAGAGTTCCCTTGACCGCACACTCGGTGTCGAGGCACAGAGGGAACATTGTCGACAAACCGGGGATGCCGTTGGCTTGCTAAGCGCCGCGGTGTTTGTGTTCCACCAAAAGCAATTTACTGCTTTCAGTCAAGAGGGGTCGGTTTCTGTCTCTACCACGAGTTGTGTTTATCCGTGGGCGCCGCGTGCGCTTGCGGCGGGTAGCGGTAACGTAGTGGTTTGAGCAGACGACGCTGCGACGCCAGCGATCCAACTCGATTCTTGTTGTTATTATTCACGTACACCAAGAGGCGGTTCGTGTACCACTCCGACCTGGGCCTTCCGTGGGTTGTCTCGGCTTGAAAACGAGGCGTCGGCGACGGTCAACATCGACACGAGGTAGACGAAGGTGTGTGGGCATGCGTGGTGGGACATCCTTGCCTCTCTCTGTGTGTCCGGGCCGTGCTCGCCCGTGCGTGCGTGCAGACACGACGTTCATCACGACGCTGACGTTCCTGTGGAAGGTGACGGTGATCACCCTCGTCAGCTGCCTGCCGCTCTACATCCTCAAGTACATCCGCCGCAAGTTCTCCCCGCCCAGCTACTCCAAGCTCACCAACTAAGAGGGCACCCGCCACGCTCCGAGCCTGCGTCTGGCTGCCCGCAGGAGTTTGGAGACCGAGCGCCGCGGGGGAAGGTTCCAGCTGCGACGGGCTCAGACCCAGCGACCGTCGCGTGGGGGGGGGGAGCCCCCCGCGTCGGCAGCCCACGCAAGGCACCCCTGCTGTCGAGGGGCTGGGGGGGGGGCTAGGAATAGAAACACGCCAGAGGCCTCTGATCTTCAACCCCAAACGTAACCCTGATCCTAACGCCCAAAGCACTTTTAGCCATCGAACTTAGTCCTCGCCCTATGTGTAACTGTAGCCCGAGTCCAGATTGCCCAGCCTTAACAGGAAATATTGCCCGAGGTTTGGTCTTGAGCACGTAGTCCTCACGCCGCCCCGTACGAAGCACGAGCCCTGGCTCGAGTCGTAACGAGAGATTTAGCCGCAACCCCAACTCTAACTCAGACCTTAGCGCCCATCGTAGCCCGAATAAACACCCAGCTATAGCCATGACACTCACATTAACCATTATCCAATTAATCCATTTGCCACCACTCAGAACCAATCTCTTGAGGATACGAAAGTGCTCGAAGCAGTCGGCGAGGTGTCGGCGCACCACCGGTGAAGCCGAGCCGTGACCGCACCGCGCCGAGTCATGAGCCGTAGCGAGCGCAGCTGCCTGGGAGGCCAAGGGAACCCATGGGGTCGCAGGTCAGGCTGCGCGCAGGGGTCTAACTCCACCGCAGCCAGGGCACAGCCCCCACCGCCTCTCCCTGCTGCACCCCTCGGCCAAGTGGTCGGGTTTGCCACCTGTCCTGGTTTCCCCAGGAGCTGCCGTCCTGGGAACACTTGTCATGGGTTTTGTCAGTTGTGTCGTGATAATAATAATGATGATGCGCCACGCGAGGCGATGCACTCCAGTGTAGTTCTCGGCTCTTCGAGTATTGCGAGAGGTTCTTCTACTCGTGATTTATCCCCGTTTTTTTGAGCCTCGAGTGGTGGCGAGTGATTGGCTCCCGGAACGCGAGAGGGATCTCAGCGAGGGTGGGGGTGGCGGGGAGAGTCGGTTTGGTGGAGGTCATGGTAGTTTCTAAACTCTAAAATCTGAAACATTTAATGCAATTGTAGGTGAGATTGGGGCATAGTTTGAAATAAAATCCATATCCCGTGCTTTATTTGCTAGAAAATAGGGCCCTTAATTTGTTTCTCTAATTCCACGAAAGGCTGGCTTCACGGGGTTAGGCTGTTGACCTCGCGGTGACTCAGTGGCGTCACAACTGTGGCCTGGCACTGCCACGACGCGCGTCGGCTCCGGCACCGTGTATACGCTCAACGCCACGGATCCGTGGCACACGACCGGCTTGGGCAGGGCCTGGCACGGAGCGTGTCGTAGAAACAAGGAGTGCCCTCCGTTGCTGGAACCTTTTAACTCACAAATTCTGTTCTGCACTGTGTTCGTGGGTTGGCGTGTCACACGCACCTGGCTCCGTGCGTGTGCGTGGCGTCTGTGGGTGTGTGTGTGTGTGTACCCGCCGTCACGTGGTCTAGAGGTGCTCCCTCACTCCACACGAGTGGATTCATCAGGGCACCTCTCGGCCAATCAGAGTGAGCGTCTCCCTCTCCCCAGGAGGTCGTTGAGCAATGAAGTCTCAGTTTTCTTTACATGGAGGTAGTGGATGCAGCACGTAAAAAAGGAATCTTTTTGGGAGCGCTCATCTCCATCGTTGGTCCTGAGCTGTTGTTGTGATTTCCCTGTTTCTATGGCAGGACCCCGTCTCTCCCTAACACAGCCACAGGTCCCTCGGTGTGGTGCAGCCTCACCGCGCAGTGGGGGGCCTTCACAGGCTGCTCGTTTTACCGACCTTTGAAGGCTTCTCAACCAGGATTGGAACTGCGATCATGATCTCTGCGCTCGACCGGATCGGATTTCTGAGATGTAATGGGAGGGATTATCTCCTCAAATCTACAGGAATTCACTAAATAAGTCTCTCTTAGTTTAGCTGGGTTGTTTTTTTTACATCATATTGCTGGTTTACGTTAAGAAAATAATCAGTTGTTTCACATTCGAGTTTTTTTTATATTTGGTTCAGCCATGCTCATGCCAGCATCACGGAAGTTGGCTGCTAGCCTTGTGCCATTTTCTAATGGGTGGGTGAGCGCTGTAACCCTTCACGCGAATAGCGACTCTGCATCTTTGCAGCGCTCCATGTCGCTCCCACAAAAAAAAAACGACATGTGCAGACGTTGTGCAGCACCGTTTTGGTCAGACCCACGTGTCTGTGACGGGCGAGTTTAGTATTTGTCGGTGATCTCGTCCGGGTTGCCCGCCTATCGACATGGCCAAGCTCTGTGGCTTCCCGGCCGCCCCCGCAACAAACAGGCCACCGGCCGGCTCGTCAGCGTCGCCCGTCGTGCACCGGCCCGTCGGATTGTCAGCCGCCCTTTGCAGCCCCATGGCTGTCCAGTTACAGTATCTCTCGTGTGGAATCTACTCGTGCATGGATTTATTACATTATTTCCTGCGACGCGCGGCGTAATGGGGCGGTCGTTTTGAGCGGACGACACTTGAGGGGGAGGAACAGTGCCGACGTTTATCGGTGAAATGGCACGGCGCTAGTGGCACGAATACAACGGCACGTCCCAAGCCCGCCGCCCGCACTCTTTGAGTGCGGCCATGTCAGCCGTGGTGATTACAGAGTTCCTTGACTTAAATAACGTTATATTGTTATCAGTTATAGTTTCCATTGTACAATCAATTCGTTTCATGAGCCCAGAACATTTTTCTCGACATTCAGTTGGCGGATCCTCACGCACTGACTGGCCCAGGAAGGTGAATCCACAGACCAACTGCTAGGGTCCATTGAACTGGCCTCTCACCTGAGTTTAGCTTGTGTAGTTGCCTGGATTTTAACTTTGTGGAGTGGGACGCATGCGCAGGATGGAGGAGGGTCGATCCCCAAGACAGACATCGGAGTGGTCTCCACGAGTCCGGCGACCAAGGGGAAGACCTTAGGCCAGATGGTGGGAGACTGTCAGAGCAGATCTCTGAGTCCGTGTGTCTTCTGTGCAGCAGCTGCGGGATCGGGCAGAGGAAAGGAAGTGTTGGTGTGGTGCGTTGGTGGTGGTGGCACCAACGGCTTTGCCCGTGACGATGACGTCTTGATCTCAGTGATGCTGGCTCGGTTCTCTTATGAAATCTTCCTTGGCCAAGAACCCCATAGAGGGCTCTTTGTGGGACTCTGTTACCCATGCTCCACTCGGATCTGGGTGAGAGGCGGCCACAGCTGCATTGTGATCCCTCTGCTGCGCATTAGACCGCATCAATTGCCCATTCATTCCCATAACGTGGGTTAGCTTTGTACGTGGCAGCCCGTATGATTGATAGACACGATTCAGACTCCTCATCCCAAACGGGTTGGAAACCCCCGTTCTAGTAGAGCGCGTGCTTCGTGCGTTCTTCCACCGAGCCGGCGGTTTGACTTTCAGAAGCCGTCCAGTAAATTATAGGGGTGGTGATTATCAAAGGCTGCTTTGCGGTGGTGTCGAAAGAGGCTGTGAAATCGCTCTGCGAGTGGGCCATCGCATGGCTCAAAGGCTATCGCAGTGATCGCAAGGGAGACCTCGGAAAACCGAGGGACAGCATTAATACTGATATTTATCCCGATTCGCCGATGTGCAGAAACTACTTTTGTATGCCTGTTTTGAGTGAAGAGTAGCAGCAGAAGTGTGGTGTAGTTTGAGAAATATGAGCATAATGGCTCCTTCCACCTGCACATGAAGTAAGCGCATGATGTACTTTACACATTACGAATAATCTTCACGTTTTGTTTTTAATCATCCTGGTTGACAGAAGACTGCTACAGGAATTGACCCCTGGCTCTGTGTGTACCGGCCCATCGGCCCGCGTGCGGGCCTCAATGCCATGCTTTGCTGTCAGTCCAGGCAACAGAATTCATGCACTGGAGATGAAAACGACTGAGGCCAGTGAACAGCTCTGGTTTGTCAAGCAATTCATAAAGCCCCTAAGAAGACCTGGATACACATGGGCTACATTTAATGCCAGATGCACGCTTGCCTTCCGTACAGCAGTTGAGCAAAACGTGTACAACCGCAGCCTGTGCAGATGGTGGCGTCATGGTTTTAGCGAGTGAAATCGTAAGCCAGCGTTTTGAACCCGTCAAGCTACGTGCAGTGACTGCATGAGCAGGTGCATCGATGTGTGTGGGTGTGTGGCAGTGGCGGCTGAACGGAATGCGATCTGCCGCACCGGATGTGAATATATTGACAAGCCGCAGTGCGCCCGTGTGTCCTGGTGGTCCCGCGGTCATTGACCCCTGCAGGGCAAAGCGAGCCCCCCCCCCCCTCTCTCCACCTCGTGACACCGCCAGAAGTCATAAAGCACATCGGTCGAGGTTTCCGTGCAGAGAGAGAGAGAGAAGTCCCTGCCATAGTCGCGTAGAATTCCCACCACTCGTTTCGGTCGCAAACCAAACTGGCTGCTCCCCGTGGACGTCTACGATTGTCAATTTGGTGGAGTGGTGGAGATGTATTTGTGTGTAGCCGCTGCTTGAACACGGTCGAGGGGGGCCTGGGGTAAGCAGTGGCGGCTGGGATGTGCTGAGCTCGGGAGACGACGCCTCGGGGGGGGGGTGGGGTGAGGGCGTCGTGGGTGGGAGTTGGCGATGGTCAGAGGTTGCCTTAAAAAGCGAGGGCGTTGTTGTACTCTGGCGTGCCTGTGCCCATCAACGAGCGCGTGTTGTGTGTCAAATGCATCTCTCGCTTCACGGTGCTGCTGCACAGCGGAGCGGGTTGGCCGGGGGCAGCGGCAGTGGCGGCGTTGCGAATCGGCGGCCCGTTGTGTGGAGGATTGCGGCTGAGCGAGCCGTGGGGCCCACATCGAGACCTAGAAGAGCCTTGCGGGGGCAAAATCAACTAAAGCAGGCCTCGTGAGTCTAAAGCGCGCGAGTTGGACTTGTCGTAGGTTTATTTCGTTGACAACTCAGTAAATCGATCAAATCAAGGGGCGTGAATGACTGCGCGAGCTTGTCAAACACAAAACAACATCGACGATTTCCATTTTCTTCCGACGACATCCGCGCAACGTCGCACCACGGCCAGCTCGAGGTGCCCCCCCCCCCCCCCCGCTATGGATGGACGCGTCTGCCCGGTCCTGTCGTGCAGACCCGTCCATGCGACAGGCCTCCTCCGTCGCGATCACTGGATATCGATGGCGCCACGGCTCTTAAGTGAAGGTAGTCAAAAGAAGCGGGGGCTCTGCCCGCACGCGACACGAAGACGCACTTAGCGCTGCCAAACGCAGGGGAATCTTTCTTCTTGTTTCCAACCAGGTGTTTGTGACGCATCGAGAGAGAGAGAGTTGTAGTGACGCGTCCAACTCGGAGTTCGTGTTTACAAGATATTCGCCGCGTAGCAGGCCCCCTCTACAAGGCTGCTGTGTTTGCATTATCACTCAAGTATGCCATGCCAGTGATCACGTAGTATTTCCTCTCGTGCAAAGGGAGAGACAGCAGTATGTCTGCAGCTTTGATTGTTAAAGGAGCTCGTTCACGTGCTGTAATTATTCAGAAAATGCAGCTGCGTGTGTGTCGTCTCCGTCGACCTGTGGCACCTGCTGGGTCTGCCCCGAGACCTCCTGCCACACTTCACGTGGTGCACTTAGCCTGGCACAAGCGTCATGGTGACGTCACCGCCACTGAGTGGCGAATGGCGGTTGTTGTTGTTAAGTTGGTGTAGCGATTAGTGCGCTGCTCTACGAACCCACCCGGCGACCCGGGTTCGATTCTCGCTCACGGCCATCGCCAGTGGCGATTATCTGAGCCGGTCATATGGGCCTCCCCTAGGTCGACTCCGTCTAAAGTGAGTACCTTGTGCGATGTGTACAAACATCGCCACTGGCCACCGTTCCGACCTCCATAGGTGCTCGCTAACAGCACTTGCCCCAACAGTCTGTTCAGGCTACACGGGGGATCTTGGTGTCTTTGGGTAATTTGGAACGCTGGTGAACTTGAGAAGGGGAATATGCACCCCCCCCTCCCTCACATCGTAATGGGCTGAGGGAAAGATCGGTGACGTCACAATGGGTTGTGTTGGAGTGAGGGAGAAATCGGTGACGTCACAATGGGTTGTGTTGGAGTGAGGGAGAAATCGGTGACGTCACAATGGGTTGTGTTGGAGTGAGGGAAAGATCGGTGACGTCACAATGGGTTGTGTTGGAGTGAGGGAGAAATCGGTGACGTCACAATGGGTTGTGTTGGAGTGAGGGAGAAATCGGTGACGTCACAATGGGATGTGTTGGAGTGAGGGAAAGATCGGTGACGTCACAATGGGTTGTGTTGGAGTGAGGGAGAAATCGGTGACGTCACAATGGGTTGTGTTGGAGTGAGGGAGAAATCGGTGACGTCACAATGGGTTGTGTTGGAGTGAGGGAGAAATCGGTGACGTCACAATGGGATGCCATGGAGCGGTGGGTGGCGCGTGCGGCGTTGGTGTTGCGAGGCTGCGAGGGAGCTGTTGTGAACTCTGGGAGAGTCGCTGTCGGAGGCCGCTGTACTGCAAACTAAACTTGTTTAACGAGTCGGGCCCACTGAGCTATGTGGCCGTTTTTCAGAAGCGACCTGGCCACAAGTGACAGCCCAACGAGAAGTGGCTTGTCGCGTGGACAGTAGCCAAAGACTCTAAACGTGCACACTGCTACCACAGTATCAGATGCAGCCCTAAATCGTTACTTAAAATACAGGTGGGGAAAAAAAATCGGCATCCTATGATGCAGAGAATGCGGTATTATGTATGTGTATCGGTGTTTGATACACAACACAGCCTCATGAACTGGAACATGTGGAGGGGAAAAACCGGAGGACCCGGAGAAAAATCCGCGGGGGAGAGTGAAACTGCAAACTCCAAATATCCAGCAGGCGTCATGGTCGGGATCGAGCCCACGGCCTCCTGTAGAACAGGCGAGGTAGTTAACATCTCCTAGCCACTGTGGCGTCAAATAGCTGCTGCTGCTGCACCTAATTCCCCGACCCCCGATCTCGTTCTTGTCCACGAGCAACGCCAGTGGCGTCTGCAGCTCGCCTCGGGATGCTCCCTGTCCACTGCTCTGCCGCATTGTCGGCAGCCTGCACGTGTGGGCGGCAGCGTCCTGCGCTGTGGCGCCGAGACGCCGGGTGCCGTTTGGCGTGCGTCGTGCTCGCCACATCAACCCGCGACGGCGTCTGGCTTAATAAGTTTGTCGTTGCTTCATGTGCGCACGTGGGTGTCTGGCGAACAACAGTGCTGACTGGCCACTATGCCAGTCAGCACCCGAGTCCGATGGCTCCATTCTGACAGCTCTCCAGCGATTCGTGTGAGCAGTTGCCAACCGTGCCCTTGTTTCCTGTAAAATGTTGTGTGCTCGAGACGGCGGTGGTATAATCGAGCAGTGCCCATCGGCTGCTTTAAATTAGACAAGGGGGGGGGGGGGTATCGCTTATGTAACCCCCGTGGCATCCCAACTCAAACGTACGCCAAGTATTGAGCATTCCAACTCTCACTGGCCCAGTCCCGCAGACGAACGCTCACCGCGACCTGCAACCACTGGACAGCTGTGGGGGGGAAAAGAGCTTCATAGCTCATCGAATTTCTCGCCGTCTCAATGAAGATGCTGGCATCGCGGGCCCCGTGAAGTGGTACCAATGGCGTAGTGTGACTTTATAAGTGGTGTAGTAACTACATTATCAGTGGTGTAGTAACTACATTATCAGTGGTGTAGTAAACTACATTATCAGTGGTGTAGTAACTACATTATCAGTGGTGTAGTAACTACATTATCAGTGGTGTAGTAAACTACATTATCAGTGGCATAGTAACTATATTATCAGTGGTGTAGTAACTACATTATCAGTGGTGTAGTAACTACATTATCAGTGGTGTAGTAACTACATTATCAGTGGTGTAGTAACTACATTATCAGTGGTGTAGTAACTACATTATCAGTGGTGTAGTGACTACATTATCAGTGGTGTAGTAACTACATTATCAGTGGTGTAGTAACTACATTATCAGTGGTGTAGTAACTACATTATCAGTGGTGTAGTAACTACATTATCAGTGGTGTAGTAAACTACATTATCAGTGGTGTAGTAACTACATTATCAGTGGTGTAGTGACTACATTATCAGTGGTGTAGTAACTACATTATCAGTGGTGTAGTGACTACATTATCAGTGGTGTAGTAACTACATTATCAGTGGTGTAGTAACGACATTACCAGTGGCGTATTGACAACATCATCAGCTGCAGGTGGGGCCCCCAATATTTGTGATTGTCTCGCGTGGTTTGCACCCCGGCTAATCTATACCGCGACTTCTCTTGCCGAGTCACATCATGACATCAGTTTGTCGTCCTTTAATTTACACTGTTGTTGAGAACATATCTCATGGTGGCTGTCAGGGAGGGTCCAACTCGCGTCTGTGGATGGGGAGGAGGGCAAGGCACCCGCTGGGGTCCCCCACGCTCGTCACGCTACTAGGAGGCGGCGCTGTGCCCGGCTTCTCGTGCCAGTGAAGGTCTCGAAGCCGCAGGGGGGGTAATGTCGGTCGCGTGAGAGAGCACGGAGCTCCGATGTCAATTCTCTTCGCGCACCGTGAACGCTGAGATGTTGTATTCTTCACAATGAGAGGAGTCACTATTTAAACCTTGGCGCTCGGTGTGTAGTCAAGGCCAGGAATGACTGTAAAAGTGCGATTTAATAATACTGCATGGCATCGAGTTGTTGATAAAATGCCGAATGTATATCATTGGCTTGGCACGAAGGCTTCCTTATTGATGCTGACCAACCACCTGCAATTCAGGTTGTGTTCCATAAATCTGCCTTCAGCACCAACCTATAAAAAGCTTAACCTGATCATTACACTGGACGTTCACACACACAGGAAGTGGGACACGTTTGTTCGATTCACCGCAGATTCGCAAATGCTTCCCACCACAATCGCGAGTCGCCGCTGCCATCACTGCGCTCACTCTGACATGTCAAGACGTGAGCCATCAGCGCGGACACGGCGAGAGAATTAAGCGGATTTTGTGTTGTTCAGAACAGAAATGCCGAAGGTACCACGGCAGGATGGCGGAGATGGCGCTCAACACGGGGTTTCTCGCAGCCGATATCAAGGTCCATAATTGCTTTTTTTGTGTGTTGGGCCGCTGCAATGGTCGTACCAAATTTGCGTCGTGAAGAACCCTCCACCACCCGACAGGGATAAATGGTCACGCGGCGTACGAGCGCCAATTATTGTTTGAGCTCGCCGGCCGAGTTGGAAACCAACGTGAGCAAATTGTGTGCGACGTTCGGCGCTTGTGACTACGTCCGACGCCTTCGGGACGATGTGTAGGAAGTGCGACTCAAAATCCAGCTGATGGGAACGAGGCGACACTTGGTCGTCGCCGCTGCCGCAGTGAAACGGGAACGCGCGCCCGTCGCAAGGGGGAGGTGGCGCTGCTTGCCCGCGATGCCCTCGGTTAGTCGATGTTAAAGTTCGCCACGCACAGCGCTCGAGCGATGGACACGGCCGGGGAGTGCCGCTGGTGGTAGTGGGGGATAGAGGCGTGATCACGGGTGGTGGTGAGGGGGGGTGGTGGGGACGTCGTTCCCCTTCCCATCCCTTCCTTGAGACCCCCAGACATTATTTTAGTGATAATTACGGGATGCTTTGAATGTTCCTCTCCTGGCTGTGTGATTATGAATGCAGCGGCTCTGTGTTGGATTCCACGATCAGAATACGAGCGCTCTGTGTGTGTGTGACGCTGTGTGTGTGCGTGCGACGCTGTGTGTGCGTGACGCTGCGTGTGTGCGTGACGCTGCGTGTGTGTGACTGTGTGATGGAATTGAACCAGGAGCAGCTGTTTCAATGCCATCTCGTAACACGGAAAGTCGTAAATACACTTCGCCGTTGAACCAAATGCCATTCTTTATGTGCTTGCAGCACTCATCAGATATTCATCTTCGGCTTCCATTATTTCTCTCAGCGCACACCGCTTATTTTACTGATGGCTTCGGAGACGATTTGAGATGTTGGAATCTGCACCTATTGATTTCGTTCTGTGATGACTTTGAAACTTCAGGAAGTGGACGCTTTATTTAACCAGGTAATTATCCCAGCGAGATTCAACTCGTGCCTCGAGTCTCTCTGTCTCACACGCGATGAAGAAAAGACAGTACTCGGAACGGGATAGAAATTGACTGCAGATTATTCTTGGAAGAGGCTTTTGGGCATAAAGATTGTTCACTTTCACAACGATTACTGCGCATGGGCTGCGCTGCCGAGTGGTCGATGGTGCTGTTGCCTCGCTCCGCCAGCAGCCCACCCAGTTCGCTGTTTGCTTTCCCAATGGGCTGCCGCTGATTTCTGCTGCCGATTGCCAAAAGCGCGCACGCCCTTCGGTGGACGGTGAAGGCTCGAGCCGCAAGTTAAAACAAAATGAAAAAGGCGAACAGCTCGTAAAGTCGCACCACCGTAATCGTGACCGTGTTTAACCGCTGCGACCAAGGGGTTATCTTGTAAAAAGTAGATGCACCCCAGGGGAGGTCTCATCTGGTTTAATTAAGGGAGGCTCATGGATGGTTCAGGCATCTTCATCATTTACGCCTTTACTGTGAAGTGGGACCTAACCACGCGTGGCACTTCCACACTCGTGTGGGTGTTCCATTCTGGCTGTGCGGAGGTGGCTGTGTGTGTGTGTAGTACAGGCACTGTAGATTCCTTGTTTTGTATATGCAGATGAATCGTTAATGTGCGTAGTGTTTTTTGTTTTGTAAATATAGATAGTTGTGACATTGCATCGTTGAACGAATATGTATTGCATTGTTTCCGTGCTGTAAACTTACTTGGGTAATACATTAAACGTGTGGCAGAACGTAATTTGGTTTTGATTTGTGTGTGTACCCTGTGAAACTAAATAAATTATCCGTTAACTTATTTATTTTCCCCGCTTGTTACGGACGACCAGAATATGGATGTGGTCACGTGGTCGCTGTGCAATGTGTGCGCGCGTTGGACTTCTCTCGCTCCGTACGTAGCCAGCCGTGCTCGTCGGAGGTGCGTGGAGGGGGGGGATTCGTCAAGCGAGGCCGCCGTGTCTGCGCGCGATCTCGAGTTTTGTTCCCGCAGCTCGGTGGAAACGGCTGCCCCCTGCCACTTACAAATCCCCATGCGCCCATCGCCGTCTGCGCTAAATGCGCTGCAGCGCGTTCCCCGTCATTGACAGCGGCGGTGTAAGAGGCCGCGCGCCCGTCACCGGCTGGACTCGATAATTGTCCATTTGCCCGACAGGTGCCTTTACCTTGTCCACCCAGCGCCTTTACCGTGTCCACCAGCGCTTAGCGGCGGTGGCGGAGGAGGAAGAGGCACGCGATGACATCGAGTTCAGCTTGTCCTGTCGCCGAGTGCGCATCTTGCGAGTCCACATTTAAGACACGCGGTACATGTGTTTTGGCACTCATCAGCAGTGTAGCTAGAGGCATTCCTCGTTATAGTATCCAGATACAAAATGTCATCGTCAGCCATGGTCCACTTCTGGCTCAAGGCCTCCCCAAGACGTCACATCTCATGATCTCACGCGCCTGTGATGTAACGATCCACATAACAACGTGGTAATGCACGCAGGAGCTGTTTTAATAGATGGCAAAAGACGCGACTGACCATCGTATCGGTTCTCCCATCATGCCTTGCATGTTGCAATATATCACCATGCCGAATCTTTAATGCAATGCGGTCGTGGATATACCATTACAAAAAAACATCGTCTTAAGTAGGATTAGATATACATTTACTAACAGGGGTTCCGACCTCGGGCCCTTCCTATTGTCAACATACGTCTTCTCCGATCTTGTTGCAGGAGACCCTTCCATGAATGCGCTGACAATACACAATTGTACACTGCAGTGAAGTCAAAGTTAGACGCAGAGAGCCTCGGTCACCTCGAAGATTGCACGCGGGCAGTGCACGCGGGCAGTGCACGCGTGCTTTGCACAACAGGAAATGCGACTGAATCCAGGAGAATCGGGAGGTCCTGCTGGTTGGCACTCGGGCTCATGAGGAAACATTGTGGGAGGAACAGCTTTGGCGGTCGCTGACTCCAGCATTGAGTTTTCTACTCGTATCGAAAGCGCCTCGGCACCACACTCGACCAGGGTACGTCGTTTGATCACCACGTGCCCGCAATGGTGCCGTCCTTCTGGGACATGCTTGACAAGGTTTCGGTCTATACCCTAAACCCGAGCGAGCATCGATGTGGTTTAGATTATGATGGGGCCCCTGTTTCACACGACGCCCCAAATATAACAAAGACCACTGCCGGTAGACTCCAGATTTATAGTGTTTACTTAGAATTTAAATTATAAGTTTTCAATTGTCAAATGGTAACAGGCCTGCAACTTCTCCGGAAGAGTGCACACATCGAGCAATTATACCAAACCCAAATGGCCCTCGCAACAGCACAAAAAACACCGCAGTCGCACAACAACCTGACGACCCATGGCTGCACAGATCTCCACCACGAACGCTGGTGGGAGAAAGCTGCCGAGCGACCCCGGAGGCTCTGGAAGGGACCAAACCAAACGTTCCAAGCACCACCTCAGAGGATCACCGCCCTCCCCGCACATGTCCCAGCGGTCGACGCCCCCGCAGTCCTCACGAGGAGTTCCCTTCACGGCGGCAGCGGGGGCGGTTCCCCGTGATGCCCACCCCTGGCTCCAACACCCGATGGTTGGAGAGACGGCCCACCGGTGAACGGCCCAGCCGTCCACTGCAGAACCCCAGGCGGTAGCGCCCACCGGCCAGCAAGTGGTCATCACCCGCAGGCTCCGAGGCGATGGTTGCGGTGCCGACCCACCAACACGGCTGGCTCCCTGGCCGTGGACGAGGAGGGGTTTCCCCGTGGTCGGCAGCCTCACGTCTCTAGCAGCCTCACAGCACAGCCTCACGTCTCTAGCAGCAGCCTCACGTCTCTAGCAGTCTCACGTCTCTAGCAGCCTCACGTCTATAGCAGCAGTCTCACGTCTCTAGCAGCAGCCTCACAGCACAGTCTCACGTCTCTAGCAGCAGTCTCACGTCTCTAGCAGCAGTCTCACGTCTCTAGCAGTCTCACGTCTCTAGCAGTCTCACGTCTCTAGCAGCAGTCTCACGTCTCTAGCAGCAGCCCCACGTCTCTAGCAGCAGCCTCACGTCTCTAGCAGTCTCACGTCTCTAGCAGCAGTCTCACGTCTCTAGCAGCAGTCTCACGTCTCTAGCAGTCTCACGTCTCTAGCAGCAGCCCCACGTCTCTAGCAGCAGTCTCACGTCTCTAGCAGTCTCACGTCTCTAGCAGCAGTATCACGTCTCTAGCAGCAGCCTCACGTCTCCAGCAGCAGTCTCACGTCTCTAGCAGCAGCCTCACGTCTCTAGCAGCAGTCTCACGTCTCTAGCAGTCTCACGTCTCTAGCAGCAATCTCACGTCTCTAGCAGCAATCTCACGTCTCTAGCAGTCTCACGTCTCTAGCAGCCTCACGTCTCTAGCAGCCTCACGTCTCTAACAGCCTCACGTCTCTAGCAGCAGTCTCACGTCTCTAGCAGTCTCACGTCTCTAGCAGTCTCACGTCTCTAGCAGCCTCACGTCTCTAGCAGCAGTCCCACGTCTCTAGCAGCAGGCTCACGTCTCCCGCAGCAGCCTCACGTCTCTAGCAGCAGTCTCACGTCTCTAGCAGCAGTCTCAAGTCTCTAGCAGTCTCACGTCTCTAGCAGCAGCCTCACGTCTCTAGCAGCAGTCTCACGTCTCCAGCAGCAGCCTCACGTCTCTAGCAGCAGCCTCACGTCTCTAGCAGCAGCCTCACGTCTCTAGCAGCAGTCTCACGTCTCTAGCAGCAGTCTCACGTCTCTAGCAGTCTCACGTCTCTAGCAGCAGCCTCACGTCTCTAGCAGCAGTCTCACGTCTCTAGCAGCAGCCTCACGTCTCTAGCAGCAGCCTCACGTCTCTAGCAGCCTCACGTCTCTAGCATCAGTCTCACGTCTCTAGCAGCAGCCTCACGTCTCTAGCAGCAGCCTCACGTCTCTAGCAGTCTCACGTCTCTAGCAGCAGCCTCACGTCTCTAGCAGCAGTCTCACGTCTCTAGCATCAGTCTCACGTCTCTAGCAGCAGCCTCACGTCTCTAGCAGTCTCATGTCTCTAGCATCAGTCTCACGTCTCCAGCAGCAGCCTCACGTCTCTAGCAGTCTCACGTCTCTAGCAGCAGCCTCACGTCTCTAGCAGTCTCACGTCTCCAGCAGCAGTCTCACGTCTCTAGCAGTCTCACGTCTCTAGCAGTCTCACGTCTCCAGCATCAGTCTCACGTCTCTAGCAGTCTCACGTCTCTAGCAGTCTCACGTCTCCAGCATCAGTCTCACGTCTCTAGCAGTCTCACGTCTCTAGCAGTCTCACGTCTCCAGCATCAGTCTCACGTCTCTAGCAGTCTCACGTCTCTAGCAGTCTCACGTCTCCAGCAGCAGTCTCACGTCTCTAGCAGTCTCACGTCTCTAGCAGTCTCACGTCTCCAGCATCAGTCTCACGTCTCTAGCAGTCTCACGTCTCTAGCAGTCTCACGTCTCCAGCAGCAGTCTCACGTCTCTAGCAGTCTCACGTCTCTAGCAGCAGCCTCACGTCTCTAGCAGCAGTCTCACGTCTCTAGCAGTCTCACGTCTCTAGCATCAGTCTCACGTCTCCAGCATCAGTCTCACGTCTCTAGCAGCAGTCTCACGTCTCTAGCAGTCTCACGTCTCTAGCAGCAGCCTCACGTCTCTAGCAGCAGTCGCACGTCTCTAGCATCAGTCTCACGTCTCCAGCATCAGTCTCACGTCTCCAGCATCAGTCTCACGTCTCTAGCAGTCTCACGTCTCTAGCAGCAGCCTCACGTCTCTAGCAGCAGTCTCACGTCTCTAGCAGTCTCACGTCTCTAGCATCAGTCTCACGTCTCCAGCATCAGTCTCACGTCTCTAGCAGCAGTCTCACGTCTCTAGCAGTCTCACGTCTCTAGCAGCAGCCTCACGTCTCTAGCAGCAGTCGCACGTCTCTAGCATCAGTCTCACGTCTCCAGCATCAGTCTCACGTCTCTAGCAGCAGTCTCACGTCTCCAGCATCAGTCTCACGTCTCTAGCATCAGTCTCACGTCTCTAGCATCAGCCTCACGTCTCTAGCAGCAGTCTCACGTCTCCAGCATCAGTCTCACGTCTCTAGCAGCAGTCTCACGTCTCCAGCAGCAGTCTCACGTCTCCAGCATCAGTCTCACGTCTCTAGCAGTCTCACGTCTCTAGCAGCAGCCTCACGTCTCTAGCATCAGTCTCACGTCTCTAGCAGTCTCACGTCTCTAGCATCAGTCTCACGTCTCCAGCATCAGTCTCACGTCTCTAGCAGCAGTCTCACGTCTCTAGCAGTCTCACGTCTCTAGCAGCAGCCTCACGTCTCTAGCATCAGTCTCACGTCTCTAGCAGTCTCACGTCTCTAGCATCAGTCTCACGTCTCCAGCATCAGTCTCACGTCTCTAGCAGTCTCACGTCTCCAGCATCAGTCTCACGTCTCCAGCATCAGTCTCACGTCTCTAGCATCAGTCTCACGTCTCCAGCATCAGTCTCACGTCTCCAGCATCAGTCTCACGTCTCCAGCAGCAGTCTCACGTCTCCAGCATCAGTCTCACGTCTCTAGCAGTCTCACGTCTCTAGCAGCAGCCTCACGTCTCTAGCATCAGTCTCACGTCTCTAGCATCAGTCTCACGTCTCCAGCATCAGTCTCATGTCTCTAGCATCAGTCTCACGTCTCCAGCATCAGTCTCATGTCTCTAGCAGCAGTCTCACGTCTCCAGCATCAGTCTCATGTCTCTAGCAGCAGTCTCACGTCTCCAGCATCAGTCTCATGTCTCTAGCAGCAGTCTCACGTCTCCAGCATCAGTCTCACGTCTCTAGCATCAGTCTCACGTCTCCAGCATCAGTCTCACGTCTCTAGCAGCAGTCTCACGTCTCTAGCAGCAGTCTCACGTCTCCAGCATCAGTCTCACGTCTCCAGCATCAGTCTCATGTCTCTAGCATCAGTCTCACGTCTCCAGCATCAGTCTCATGTCTCTAGCAGCAGTCTCACGTCTCCAGCATCAGTCTCATGTCTCTAGCAGCAGTCTCACGTCTCCAGCAGCAGCCTCACGTCTCTAGCAGCAGTCTCACGTCTCCAGCAGCAGTCTCACGTCTCTAGCAGCAGTCTCACGTCTCTAGCAGTCTCACGTCTCCAGCATCAGTCTCACGTCTCCAGCAGCAGTCTCACGTCTCTAGCAGCAGTCTCACGTCTCCAGCAGCAGCCTCACGTCTCTAGCAGCAGTCTCACGTCTCCAGCAGCAGTCTCACGTCTCTAGCAGCAGTCTCACGTCTCTAGCAGCAGTCTCACGTCTCTAGCAGCAGTCTCACGTCTCTAGCAGCAGTCTCACGTCTCTAGCAGCAGTCTCACGTCTCTAGCAGCAGTCTCACGTCTCTCGCAGCAGTCTCACGTCTCCAGCAGCAGTCTCATGTCTCTAGCATCAGTCTCACGTCTCCAGCAGCAGTCTCACGTCTCTAGCAGCAGTCTCACGTCTCTAGCAGCAGTCTCACGTCTCTAGCAGCAGTCTCACGTCTCTAGCAGCAGTCTCACGTCTCTCGCAGCAGTCTCACGTCTCTAGCAGCAGCCTCACGTCTCTCGCAGCAGTCTCACGTCTCTAGCAGCAGCCTCATGTCTCTAGCAGCAGTCTCACGTCTCTCGCAGCAGTCTCACGTCTCTAGCAGCAGTCTCACGTCTCTCGCAGCAGTCTCACGTCTCTAGCAGCAGCCTCACGTCTCTAGCAGCAGTCTCACGTCTCTAGCAGCAGTCTCACGTCTCTCGCAGCAGCCTCACGTCTCTAGCAGCAGTCTCACGTCTCTAGCAGCAGTCTCACGTCTCTCGCAGCAGTCTCACGTTTCTAGCAGCCTCACGTCTCTAGCAGCAGTCTCACGTCTCTAGCAGCAGTCTCACGTATCTAGCAGTCTCACGTCTCTAGCAGCAGTCTCACGTCTCTAGCAGCAGCCTCACGTCTCTAGCAGCAGTCTCACGTCTCTAGCAGCCTCACGTCTCTAGCAGCCTCACGTCTCTAGCAGCAGTCTCACGTCTCTAGCAGCAGCCTCACGTCTCTAGCAGCAGTCTCATGTCTCTAGCAGTCTCACGTCTCTAGCAGCAGTCTCACGTCTCTAGCAGTCTCACGTCTCTAGCAGTCTCACGTCTCTAGCAGCAGCCTCACATCTCTAGCAGTCTCACATCTCTAGCAGTCTCACGTCTCTAGCAGTCGCACGTCTCTAGCAGTCTCACGTATCTAGCAGCCTCACGTCTCTAGCAGTCTCACGTCTCTAGCAGCAGTCTCACGTCTCTAACAGCAGTCTCACGTCTCTAGCAGTCTCACGTCTCTAGCAGCAGCCTCACGTCTCTAGCAGCAGCCTCACGTCTCTAGCAGTCTCACGTCTCTAGCAGCAGTCTCACGTCTCTAGCAGTCTCACGTCTCTAGCAGCCTCACGTCTCTAGCAGCAGCCTCACGTCTCTAGCAGCAGTCTCACGTCTCTAGCAGTCTCACGTCTCTAGCAGTGTCACGTCTCTAGCAGCCTCACGTGTCTAGCAGCCTCACGCAGAGGTCGCAATCGGGTACCCGATACCCGTACCCTAGCCGATACCCGGCTACCCGTACCCGGCGGGTAAGGAATCTAAACCCGTTTGTTATCTCGGGCCTCACGTCTCTAGCAGCAGCCTCACACCGTTGGGGTTTTTAATTAATCAGCACGGCGTGCCCATGAGTCCAATCCCTCGTGCTCACGAGCTGATCTAACCCCACACACACCTACAGCCACTGTCACTCAAAGCTCCCCCCCCGCTCCTCCTCAATCAAGAGACACCCGCCCCCAAAACTATCGCTCTGACTGCCACGGAGACAGATTTAGTCAGGTCGACAATTTTCATATCAGGGCTCTCGGACACATTCGGCCACTCCTGAGTCGTGACGCAGCCAACACGGTGGGGTGTAGCAGAGTATCGACACGGCTCGATTATCACGACTCCACGGGTCGTCTGGCAACAACATGAGCACGTGTCGTGACGCACACTGCACGATCCGACCGTGTCCGTCCGGTAATCGTCGAGCTGCATTGGCTTCTGGTTTGCGGAGTAAATACATTGTGAAACGTCACGTTCACTACACACAGAGTGCTTGCCACAAATGAACCACGACACTTTTCTGACCTCGTCACAGGGCATCGACCATCACACAGACTCCGGGCATCCTCGCAGCAGACGCTGTTGGCTAATCCAGCCACGAACTAAGATGGTCGCTGCGTATCACGCGCTTTCAGACGCGCTTCTGCGGCCGTCTGGAACGCTCTTCCGATATTAGGAAGCCACTGGAGCTATGCACTTGCACATCGAAATTGAAAACGAATTCATTTAGAACGTTTAGTTTGTTGACCATCCCGCGCGCATCCGATTAGCACGGTTGGCTACGTACGGTGCGAAAAAAGTCCAACATACAACATACACACACACAACATACAACACACACACAACATACAACACACACACAACATACAACACACACACAACATACAACACACACACGTGTGAGGAGTGCGTGTGTGCTGGGACAGCGTGGCCTGCCCAAGACAGGCGGAGCGAGACCCTGGGGAGGGGAGCGAGCGCAGGGCGCAGCTGCCCGTGACGAGTCACGTCCATGGAGCAATGCGCGCGTCACGTCACCACCAGCACCACCAGCACACCACCCTCACACCCCCCACACCCCCACACCCCCCCACCCCCACACCCCCACTCCCCCACACCCCCACACCCCCCCACCCCCACACCCCCCCACCCTCACACCCCCCCACCCTCACACCCCCCCCACCCCCACACCCCCCCACCCTCACACCCCCCCCCACCCCCACACCCCCACACCCCCACACCCTCACACCCTCACACCCCCCCACCCTCACACCCCCCCACCCTCACACCCCCCCCACCCCCACACCCCCCCACCCCCACACCCCCCCCACCCCCACACCCCCCCACACCCCCCCACCCTCACACCCCCCCACCCTCACACCCCCCCCACCCCCACACCCCCCCACCCCCACACCCCCACACCCCCCCACCCCCACACCCCCACACCCCCCCACCCCCAAACCCCCACACCCCCCCCACCCTCACACCCCCCCCCACCCCCACACCCCCCCACCCCCACACCTCTCTGTCTCTCTGTGTCTCTGCATCTCTGTCTCTCTCTGTCTCTGTCTCTCTGTCTCTCTGTGTCTCTGTCTCTCTCTGTCTCTCTGTCTCTCTCTGTCTCTCTGTCTCCGTCTCTCCGTCTCTCTGTCTCTTTGTGTCTCTGTGTCTCTGTGTCTCTGTCTCTCTCTGTGTCTCTGTCTCTCTCTGTCTCTCTGCGCGAGATCTTCCCTGCGCTCAACTTGTTGGCCCATCTCTGGCGCTGGCCCCGAGACGAGAGAGAACTCTGTGCGAGTCCCACTCTTGATGGAGAACGGGAATGAAGGCGACCCTGCTGAGGCTCAGACTGCAGAGTTTTACACTCGGGGAGCGCTGCTGCTCTGAGCCGTCTAATTGTCTCGGACCTGCTTGTATGGATGCTGCATCCTTCTGCAGCAGCAGCAGCATCATCATCCATGTTCTATCAACTGCTGGTTGAATGCCTTCCCACGTCGCCATCACTCACGATCCTTCGATTTGAACAACCCATTTAAATTCCTGCGCACGAGCCGATAACGAATCCCCTCCATCCCAGCGGCGGCCGTACTCTCTCCCCCACCCCTCTCCCCCCCTCTGCTGCAGTCAACTCCTTTGGCTGCGATTCCGTTACCGGTCTTGGCCCCGCGGTCCACCCCGCCCCACCTCGCCCCACCCCGCCCCACCCCGCCCCACCCCGCCCCACCCCGCCCCACCCCGCCCCACCCCGCCCTGGCCACCCCGCCCGCCCTGGCCGCCACCTCGGCCGCCGCCATCTGCGATGCCGCTCTGCTGCGGAATCCGCCAGTGATGACGCAGAGATGCAGCAGCAGCAGCATGCGGAGACACAAACACGGGCAGCCCTCCTCCCTGCTCCTCCCTGCTGCCTCCTCCCTCCCCTCTCCTCCCTGCTGCCTCCCCTCCCCCCGCTACCCCTCGGCCCCCTCCCCCCGCCTCTATTCTAAGTCGCAGCGCGAGCCCCGCCGTCATTCTGCCTCCGAGAGAGACCGCGGCCACGGCACTCTCCCCCCCGCCGCCTCCTCCTCAAGATGCACGGCCAGGTAACAACCACGCGCCGTGCTGCCGCTGCTGCTGCTGATGATGATGTGATCATGGTGCTGATGAATATATTTATTACGATGCCAATGATGATGATACTGCTGCTGTACATGATCAAGCTGCTGATGATGTGATCATGGTGCTGATGAATATATTTATTACGATGCCAATGATGATGATACTGCTGCTGTACATGATCAAGCTGCTGATGATGATGATGATGTGATCATGGTGCTGATGCATATATTTATTACGATGCCAATGATGGTGATACTGCTGTTGTACATGATCAAGCTGCTGATGATGATGATGATGTGATTATGGTGCTGATGAATATATTTATTACGATGCCAATGATGATGATACTGCTGCTGTACATGATCAAGCTGCTGATGATGATGATGATGTGACTATGGTGCTGATGAATATATTTATTACGATGCCAATGATGGTGATACTGCTGCTGTACGTGATCAAGCTGCTGCTGATGTCGTTAATTATTACTGTTATTACGATGCAATTTAATACCTCTGCTAATGTCGATTAGGGTGAAAATGATGATGCTACCAATAATGATGCTGGTGCCATTGCATCGTGTGCATTGCGCAACGCTATTTACAAAGAATATCTTGCAATCTATTGAAACTAATCCTCGCCTCATATCACAATCGCGATCAATACATTTCACGTGCATTGTACAGGGTACGCATTATCTCCGTGCTAATAATTTTACGGTACAAAAATGCGTAAAATATATTACATACAATATGCAGTTGCCATGACCGTACGTCGTTTTAAAATTCGTAACATGCAACGCGGTGGACACAAACGTGTGCACAATGAACATTGCGATGCATGTAAATGTGGTCATGCGTGCAATGTCCACGCACAACGCTGACATGGGAGACACATGCGTCACGACAGCACACACGACGTGCACGCCTCACGCGTGCACACTCCACCACGGCGTGCACACACACCACGCCACAACGTGCACACACCACGGCATGCACACACCACGACGCGTACACACCACGGCGTGCACACACCACGGCGTGCACGCCTCACGACGTGCACACACCACACACCACGGCGTGCACACACCACGACGCGTACACACCACGGCGTGCACACACCACACACCACGGCGTGCACACACCACACACCACCGCGTGCACACACCACACACCACACACCACGGCGTGCACACACCACACACCACGGCGTACACACACCACACACCACACACCACGGCGTACACACACCACACACCACCGCGTGCACACACCACACACCACACACCACGGCGTGCACACACCACACACCACGGCGTACACACACCACACACCACACACCACGGCGTACACACACCACACACCACCGCGTGCACACACCACACACCACACACCACGACGTGCACACACCACACACCACACACCACGGCGTGCACACACCACACACCACACACCACGGCGTGCACACACCACGGCGTGCACACACCACACACCACACACCACGGCGTGAACACACCACGGCGTGCACACACCACACACCACGGCGTGCACACACCACACACCACACACCACGGCGTGCACACACCACGGCGTGCACACACCACACACCACACACCACGGCGTGAACACACCACGGCGTGCACACACCACACACCACGGCGTGCACACACCACGGCGTGCACACACCACACACCACACACCACGGCGTGAACACACCACGGCGTGCACACACCACACACCACACACCACGGCGTGAACACACCACGGCGTGAACACACCACACACCACGACGTGCACGCACCACACACCACGACGTGCACGCACCACACACCACGACGTGCACGCACCACACACCACGGCGTGCACACACCACACACCACACACCACACACCACGGCGTGCACACACCACACACCACACACCACGCACCACACACCACGGCGTGCACACACCACACACCACACACCACGCACCACACACCACGGCGTGAACACACCACACACCACACACCACGGCGTGCACGCACCACACACCACGACGTGCACGCCTGACCAACGCACATCGCCGCACACGATGCATTGGCTCTACACACAACAACGACTCACACCAGCGCGTCCGATTCCTTGCCGTGTCAGAACGGCAATAGGATTCACATCGCTAGGGGGGGTATCGGCATTTCCCGCCCACCCCCTACAATGTGCCTTCATTTATTTTGGAATCGCAATGCCTGGCATTGATCTGTGCAATGCAACGCGATACATAGCAAGATGCATAGCGAGAGAGATAGCGAGAGACAGCGAGAGAGAGACACAGCGAGAGAGAGACACAGCGAGAGAGATACACGGCGAGAGAGAGACACAGCGAGAGAGAGACACAGCGAGAGAGATAGCGAGATACACAGCGAGAGAGAGACACAGCGAGAGAGAGACACAGCGAGAGAGAGACACAGCGAGAGAGAGACACAGCGAGAGAGATACACGGCGAGAGAGATACACAGCGAGAGAGAGACACAGCGAGAGAGAGACACAGCGAGAGAGAGACACAGCGAGAGAGAGACACAGCGAGAGAGATAGAGAGACACAGCGAGAGAGATAGAGAGACACAGCGAGAGAGATAGAGAGACACAGCGAGAGACACAGCGAGAGAAATACGCAGCACACGCGCGTGTGTATGGCGCGCACCGCGTGCCTGGCGGTGCCCGCGGTGCCGCCCCACGCAGGGAGCGCGACCAGCAGTGGGGCGCAGTCGGCACGTGTGTGGAGGGACACACACACGTGTGGAGGGACACGCGTGTGGAGGGACACGCGTGTGGAGGGACACGCGTGTGGAGGGACACGCGTGTGGAGGGACACGCGTGTGGAGGGACACGCGTGTGGAGGGACACGCGTGTGGAGGGACACGCGTGTGGAGGGACACGCGTGTGGAGGGACACGCGTGTGGAGGGACACGCGTGTGGAGGAGGGTCGGTGGTCTGCTTGTGATGAGCCCACGGGATTCGTGGTGGCCCCGCTGTTGTTGTTGTTGCTGCTGCTGGTGATGCGTGTGTGCATCGCTTCTCCTCCACGCAACACACGGCACACATCACGCTCAGCCACACACACACACAGCCACAGACACACACACACAGACACACACACAGACACACACACATACAGACATACAGAGACACACAGACATACACAGCCACACACAGCCACGGGTGTAGCCCACAGCCATTTGTCAATCCACTGCTGGATGAAGGCCCTCGGTCGTGGGGGTTGTCTGCCCGTCCCGGCACTGCGCTGCCTCGTTGCCGTGTTGTGAGGGGGAGGGTGGAGGGTGGGTGGGTGGGAGTGTGACAGTGTGGAGTGTGGGAGTGTGGGAGGGTGGGTGGAGTGTGGAGGGTGGATGGTGGGTGGAGTGTGGAGTGTGGATGGTGGAGTGTGGGAGGGTGGGTGGAGTGTGGAGTGTGGGTGGTGGAGTGTGGGAATGTGACAGTGTGGAGTGTGGGAGGGTGGGTGGAGTGTGGAGTGTGGGTGGAGTGTGGAGTGTGGATGGTGGAAGGTGGGAGTGTGACAGTGTGGAGTGTGGGTTGGTGGGTGGGAGTGTGGAGTGTGACAGTGTGGAGTGTGGAGTGTGGGAGTGTGGGTGGAGTGTGGGAGGGTGGGTGGGAGTGTGGATGGTGGAAGGTGGGTGGGAGTGTGGAGTGTGGGAGGGTGGGTGGAGTGTGGATGGTGGAAGGTGGGTGGGAGTGTGGAGTGTGGGAGGGTGGGTGGAGTGTAGGAGGGTGGGTGGAGTGTGGAGTGTGGGTGGAGTGTGGAGTGTGGGAGGGTGGGTGGAGTGTGGGAGGGTGGGTGGAGTGTGGAGTGTGGGTGGAGTGTGGAGTGTGACAGTGTGGAGTGTGGGTTGGTGGGTGGGAGTGTGGGAGTGTGACAGTGTGGAGGGTGGAGTCTGGGTGGGTGGGAGTGTGGATGGTGGAGTGTGGAGTGTGGGAGTGTGACAGTGTGGAGTGTGGAGTGTGGGTTGGTGGGTGGGAGTGTGGGAGTGTGACAGTGTGGAGTGTGGAGTGTGGGTTGGTGGGTGGGAGTGTGGGAGTGTGACAGTGTGGAGTGTGGAGTGTGGGTTGGTGTGTGGGAGTGTGGGAGTGTGACAGTGTGGAGTGTGGAGTGTGGGTTGGTGGGTGGGAGTGTGGGAGTGTGACAGTGTGGAGTGTGGAGTGTGGGTTGGTGGGTGGGAGTGTGGGAGTGTGACAGTGTGGAGTGTGGAGTGTGGGTTGGTGGGTGGGAGTGTGGGAGTGTGACAGTGTGGAGTGTGGATGGTGGGTGGGTGGGAGAGTGACAGTATGGATGGTGGAGTGTGGGTTGGTGCACGGGGAGGACCCACAACAGATGTCGGTGTCCCTCGCCACCGATGCCAACCCCGGCCTGGAGCCCAGCTCGACTCGCAGTGCCCCAACCGCCTCGCGCCACCGACTCCACCGACTCCACCGTCTCCACCGACTCCACCGTCTCCACCGTCTCACGCGCCCCAAAGCGAACGTCTCCAGGCGCGTGCAGAATGCGTGGGCGCGCGTGAGCTGACACCACCGTGGGCTGCTCACCGCAACCCCCACCAGCATCAGCATCGTCATCAGCATCATCACGATCGCTCTATCGCTGTCGATTGATGGCGCTCTTCATTTCTCACCAAATAATTTTCGTCCACCAATTCCTCCCACGGACCGACCGAGGGGCGAGGGAATTTTTTCCTGCTCGAGGTTCCGCACGGCGGGTTGTTGTTGTCTGTGACACGTGGGGGGGGGGGGGGGTGCTGCGGTGTTGATGGACTGCGGCGTGGCGATCGATTGACGCCCCGAAACAGCAGTGACACACACACAGACACACAGACAGACACACAGACAGACACACAGACACGCCCCTGTGCGTGTATGTGTGTGTGTCTGTGTGTGTATCTGTGTGTGTGTGTCACCAGCGTGTACACGCCCCTGTGTGTGTCTGTGTGTGTCACCAG